GAGTTTACTGGCGGTGAAGAGGACGCAATGAGGCACAAATCAGTCTCCACCCGCATTGACCTCATTTCCCTCTGACCCTTTTGCTTCTTCGAGTCTCCGCCACTCAGCAGTTTTCCTTTGGGATCCACTTGACTGGCCATTCTACGATGCTGTTACTTTGGAGCTTTAAAGTAAAAATGGCACAATTAAAATCAAGACTACAAAGAGCCGGAATTAATTGATGTATGCTCTGTAGTACAAAACTTTTCTTTGGCGAAAGAAATATGTAAAAATAGCAGACTTTTCGTGCATTTAAAAGTGAAAGAGACAAATTGAAAATTTAAATACAATTGAATACAACTAAAATTTAGTTACACAACCAATTAATTATGAAAGACAATTATGATTTTAATTAGGAAAGTTTGGAGCAGACCTGTGTAGGAAATAAAATTGATAATAAAAATTAAGCCGTTGAGGGGAGTCACGTCTTTAGATTTGCTCATAATGCAACAGAAATTCAATGCAAGAGGCACTGATTTGTTTTACGAGGTGCCAAAGGAAAGGGCGATCGCAAAGGGCTAAGTGAGGAAAAAACGTGTGTCAGCGGCAATTAGCGGCCCTAAATGCCTGGGAACTGTTGAACATGACATTAGTCATACCGCAGTAAATGATCTCGAGGGACAACTCGTCTTTCTCGACAGCCTTCCACAGGGCGTTGTTACAGAGCTTGCTGAACTCATTGATCTCCTCTGTGTAGTCGACGGGTTTGTCCAACGTGCTGTACACGGACGCGATCAAGTTCTTCAGCGGCTTGGTCACGTCGATGTCTGACAGATTTTTCAACGGGACAGCCAGCAAGTCTGCTATGATCACTCAAGTATGGCTGGGAAAGTGGGAAAATAAATACAGATATAATCATGGCAGCACCGTCGCTCCTCGTCCAGGGGGATGATTGTGGAGGATGCATTGTTGAGGCTGGTTTTGATGAGCGCCGGCAGGTTGAGGTTGCTGACACTGCGCGGCACAAAGTACACGACCGAGGCCGCCTGTCCGGGGCTGATCATGTCTGGGGGCCGGCGACGCGGAAGACTGTGGTGCAGGGCGGCGGTCTGTGGAGGCATCAGCATCGTGTCTGAGGTGCCCGGCAGGTCGGGGTTGGTGCGTCAGGAGGTGCCAGACACCACGGCCATGGCCAGGTCGTCAACCTCCGACTTGGAGTGCTCTTAGTGGTGGCACCATCAGCACCGCCGCACCAGGCTGCGAATGCAGCTCATCCTGCGGCCGCATTTGTTCTGATAATCGTTGAATTAGGACTCCAGGGCACTGAACTTCTCTTGCCAAGCGCTCTGATTTTGCTGCATTCCGTGGCTCATGCTAACTTCCTGTTGCAGCTCACTTTTTGTAGTAGACAGTTTTGCATTCAATGCTTGGATCTGAGAAAGAATCACAATAATTTAATAGAATTGCAGATCATAAATGTACCAACCTTTTTCTCTTGAGTTTGTTAATCTTTCTTGAGTGAGTCAACTTGCTTCTTCAAACGCTGGTTCTCCTCCGACAACTTATCAACTCTCTCCCGAAGCTCCTCTCGTCTCTTTAAACAATATAAATTTAACAAAAATGCTACTTGAAACCTCTTGAGAATTACCTCGTTGTGAACTTCTTGCTGTAGTCTGATCATTCTGTCCTCAAAGTGGACCCGCTGAGACTGCAGCTGACTTGTAAAAAGATATAAGTGACCTCCAACTGCAAAGAGTCAACCTTTTCCTCTCCAGCCTGTAAAAACTTCCAATATATACTTTCATCAAAATTTCCACACATGATATATCAAACCCCCGGTTATCAGGAGAACGCCCCTCTTGGTCTGCGCCAACAGCGACCATTTTTCCATCATCTTTATTTTGGAGAAGTCGGTGGACAAAATTGTCTCCGACGTAGTCCCACACTCAATTGCTTCCTAATTGCATTGAGTAGCAGTGCTGCGTCTCCAAAAAGTGCCTTATCGACACGAGTTAACACTTTTACTTTCAATCAATAACGCATACTGAGAAGCATGCCCTTGTACGTATCTTCCACAGCCTACATGCCCACGAATCAGACAAATCCAAAACGAATCAGCCGACTGGCATTCAAAACACTTGTTGTCCACAGCCTCCGGAGTCTGCACATAGCAGCAGACAGGACACCTGTGATAAAAATATTATCAATTAATTTTCCATTTTTAGCAGTATTTTTTTTATTTAATACAACTCACGTCGCATACACCCATTTGGCAAGACAGTTGGAATGGAATGAGTGGTTGCAAAGAATGGTCAAAATCCCATCAACAGACTCGTCCATCCTTTCTAAACACACTGGACAAGTGGGCAGTTCTGTGTGGCCTGGAGGTGGGTCCACGCAATCCCCTTCCCGGACAACCTCCACCCCAGAGACAAATAGGCAACATTGCAAAGCTCGTTGTCAGATAGTGAACTGTAAGGAATTCCATGGAAGGTCCGATATAACTCGTCAGCAGCCACCTAAAATTTTGAGCTAAATAATGCGAATCAAAAATGAAATGAATTTCTAACCTGAGATTGAAATTCGATCACTGCCATGTAGTGGTTGAGCGAAGCTGAGGAATCTTCGGGTCGAATGATTCTCAATAAGTGTTTCATGTCCTCGTGGCATGCTGCAGTGAAAGCTAACAAATCTTGGCAGCTGACGGACGAGGGCACAGCCAATAAACACACTTGTTCTGATCTTTGAGCCTCGTCTTCCATGGAGGTCAGTTCGCTATTTAAACAAATAATTAATTGCACGGGAAAAAATAAATAATTTATGCAATAACTGTATAAATAGTACATATTTTAATGGAAATGGATTAGAAATTAAGATAATTTTATTAAACGATTGCTGAATATAAAAAATATAAGAATTTATAATTGAGAGCCTCATAATGCTCTGCATTATGTAAAAAATAACAACATTCTTTCAATAAATCGTGATAGGTTCTTACTTTTCTTTGTAAAGATGTAGTATTCCTTTGGTAACTTCCACAAATGGGTTTCCAGAAACAAAGGCCACTGGTTCCGAACCACCAGTCTTGCTCGAAGACGCCACCGTTTCAGCAAAATCGACAAACTGTCTCCTGTTGAATCTATTGTTTTTTTTATAAATAAAGCTACATTAAAACAAGGTCAAGACTACAAAGGGGCGAGATATTGATTTATATATGTAACTTTTCTGTTGCGAAACAAATACAAATATCAGAACTTTTTATTGATGCATTTAAATGTGAAGAGATAATATGAAAGTTAAAATTTAACTTAAATTCGTTACTCGGCGAATTAATTAGGAATGTTTAGAGCAGACCTGTGTAGGAAAGGTGGTCTAGAAGTGGGAACTCATCGCCAATTTCCAGGCGAAATAGGCACAGCGAAACCCCAAAAGACATTATTACATAGGCTCGAGCATTGATTTTAACAGCGCCAACTTAATACTTTTCGCGACTAGTGCGTCCACAAATTCCGCTGTCAAAAGATTTGGGAAAGAGGACAATAAAAGCTCCAGGTGGGTCTTTTTAGCGCTTTTTAGAGCGCAGCAGAGTCAAAAGTCAAAAACCAAAACAAAATGACAAAATGCAGCTGCAGCAGCAAGGGCGCCCCTAGCGCTGAACCTAGGTTTTACGCAGAAATGAGTATATTTGCGGCGGCTAACGGCAGAGTACACGCGCTTTGATTAAATGATCTTTCACTAAATTCACTATTCGTGCAGATTTGTGGTCTATTGGAAGCGCAGGAAAACCATATAAATTTCCTAAATTTCACAACCGTAAGTAAAAGTAAATAGCTTTTAGCCTATAATCACATGCACTACTATAAATTTACATATTTCAAAAAAATAAACCCATGTGTGTTGTTTTGTTTGCTAGCGAAGAGCCATTTCTACATTCACTTCTGTAAAGAACATTTTTCACAGTGTTTTATTAATTAATTTCGTGTATTGACTTGATATAAGATGCTGTGTATTTCAATGCATTGAATGGAGAATAAATATATGAATATGTGTTGTGTTGCACGAAGACGTAGACATAAACAAGCGCATGTTAAAAAATAATGACAAATATCTTTAATGACTTCGACGTGCTATTCAGCAGCAAGATTATTTTAAAAACTAATTTTTATTATTTGATATGACATGAAAAGCCTGCACTATTAGCTTTGTGATCATAAGGAAATTTTTAAAGAGGGAAAATTTGTGTGTGTGTGTGTGTGTGTGTGTGTGTGTGTGTGTGTATGTGTGGATTTTTATTTTATGAAATAACAACAAAAGCCTGCGCAATTAGCTTTTTAAACATAGCGAAATTTTTTAAAGAGGGAAATTTAGTTTTGTTTTGTGTGGAGTACGTAAATTATATTATTAATTTATAAATATGAAAAAAACATTTCATTTGTATTTTTGGCAGTACTGGTCAATAATTATCAGTATTAATTGTTAATTTGGATGAGTTCATGATGTGGAATTTATTTATTCTCCATTCAGATACAATATGAAAAACACAACATCATAATTACATCAAGTCAATACACAATATAAAATATTTGGGGCAAAGTTGCCTTTTTCATCGGAAAGTAATATTTTTCAGAAATGTGCTGCTAAAAACTTAAAAAGGGATTTTGTCGATACGATATTTAGTAAAACGTTTTTGCGTACACCCGGGTAAACCGAATTGCAAAGTGCACCCTTCTCAACCCGAAATCCTGCTGCCACCGGACGACTTCAGCAAGTCACTCGCAGTCCCAGTATGAGAAAAGTCCACCTGAGTGTCCTGAGTGGAAATCAAACCCGCAATCTCCGGGGACCGGGATGGAAGACAACCGCACGCTTTTTACTCGTCCACTGGCACGTTAACGCGATTTTCGCGCCACCAAGGGAGTGGTAGAATTGCTGGGCTTATGCAGCATGCGCCACGAGCTTTCATGCGCCACCGCTACCGTCGGTGCCGGCCTGCCGGGTGTCGGTGTGTGTCGTGTGTCGGTGATCAGTGATCATCAATATTTCAGTCGATGGAGAGCTCCGCTGCGGGACGCGGGTTATTGTCACAATTGTTCACATAATCGCGTGTCCTCTCGTCCTCTCTCCACTCGGGCGCCGATTGAAATTTTATTGAGATCGGATTTCGGAATAATAATGGCTTCGTCTTCATCGATAGAATATCGTGTCTATGGATTACCAGAAGACACGTTCTTTACAATTTCTGCCAGTGACTTCCGAGGAAGAAATATACCAAACGGAACCCAATTTGGCAAATACACAAAATACCGTTTTATAAACCCTTTTTCAGGACAAGCCTCACAAGGCTTCATTTTCGACGTTGTTGCAACGAGAGGTATACAACATTTTTGTTATCATTGTAATATTTAGCATTTAATCCATGCGTTGTCTTTGCTCTTGCGCCGCTTGTATGCTTTTTAATTACGCCTGCATTCTATTGCTCGCGTGATTCAACGACGACAAAAATATTTCGGAACACATAAAATTCCGTGCATTCAACAGCACTCACTCGGCTTGCCAAACTTTTATGTATCACAGAGATCAACACATATTATTTCTGCCCTCACTTGTTGGTGGCCACGAAAAAGTCGTGTTAAAATTCAAATAATACTGCACCGTGCCATGAAGTGGCGTGGATTTTTTTTCCTTGAAGAAGCAAATCTATTTTGTAATAACAACAAAAATCAGTCTAGCTATTCGGTTTATTAATCAAGGACTTAAAAGAGAACTTAAAATGATTTGATAATTTTAATTTTATTTGTGCTTTTTGTGAATATTTATGAACTATTTCTTCAAAGTCGCAGTTTTATTAACTCGCAAAAATATTTGTGATAAAAACTTTTGACAAACTGCTGCTTAATTGACAACGTTGTTTCTGAAAATATATGAAATATTGCGCTTAAAAGTTCGTACGTGTACACAATAATTGTGATAATATTTTTATGTAGTTTACATATCTACAGAATAATATCAATCGTCATTTACTCATCTTTTGGCATCCACTGTTTTTCCAGGGTTGGTGGTAAAAAAGGAGGAGGCCAATAATGACGTCAAATGCGAGCCCGATAACATGACTTTCGAGCCGTCAGACACATCTTCACCACTTGTCATGAACGGTATAGTTAATATAAAACCTTTTTTGTCAATTAAAAAACTGCTGTTGAAAGCAATTAAAATTGATATCGTTTTCAATGAATTATTGTTTTCCTTTTTTAGAATCACCACCGGAGATTGACCAAAGTGTTGTTGAAGTGGTTCCTGAGGAATGGAACGCCAAGCAGGAGCTCAACTTCAACTCATCACCATTTGATGAATCGTCCGTTTTGATCATAGTGGACGAAGGTATTCATTTTTATGTAATTGCTTTGCAGTGTAACATGATTTTTTTATCTTTGAATATTCCAATACTTGACTTAAATATTTTAAACTTGATTGAATCTGTTTTTATTTTATAGGCTCGTCGCCTCCCATTAATAAAAGCGCCGATCCGATCGTGCAGAAGAAACAGCGAACTGCAAATGAACCAACTTCTGATTTCTCTGCAGAGGACCAACAGTCATCATCAGGTACCATATCATTATTCACTTGTCATCATTTCGCCCCATTTAAATTTTTCTATTTTGATGAGATTTTATTAATTTCTTGTGGCCTTGGTTGAAGGTGGCCAAGGCAAAGAGCAGGATGAAATTCCACAAGCAGATCAAGAGCACCCGGCGACCACATCCCCGGCTGCAGATGTTACGGAGGAAGTTCAGCCTAATAACCTGCGCGACTTGGAAGGTTTTGAAGCTGAGAATCCTGATTCCTCTGCAGAGGACCAACAGTCATCATCAGGTACCATATCATTATTCACTTGTCATCATTTCGCCCCATTAAAATTTTTCTATTTTGATGAGATTTTATTAATTTCTTGTGGCCTTTTGGTTGAAGGTGGCCAAGGCAAAGAGCAGGATGAAATTCCACAAGCAGATCAAGAGCACCCGGCGACCACATCCCCGGCTGCAGATGTTACGGAGGAAGTTCAGCCTAATAACCTGCGCGACTTGGAAGGTTTTGAAGCTGAGAATCCTGATTCCTCTGCAGAGGACCAACAGTCATCATCAGGTACCATATCATTATTCACTTGTCATCATTTCGCCCCATTTAAATTTTTCTATTTTGATGAGATTTTATTAATTTCTTGTGGCCTTGGTTGAAGGTGGCCAAGGCAAAGAGCAGGATGAAATTCCACAAGCAGATCAAGAGCACCCGGCGACCACATCCCCGGCTGCAGATGTTACGGAGGAAGTTCAGCCTAATAACCTGCGCGACTTGGAAGGTTTTGAAGCTGAGAATCCTGATTCCTCTGCAGAGGACCAACAGTCATCATCAGGTACCATATCATTATTCACTTGTCATCATTTCGCCCCATTTAAATTTTTCTATTTTGATGAGATTTTATTAATTTCTTGTGGCCTTGGTTAAAGGTGGCCAAGACAAAGAGCAGGATAAACTTCCTGAAATATTTACTGCTGACGATGCAGACGACATCCAGAAAGCAGTTGAGTCCAATGAAATGCTCTCACAAGAGTACGAGGCGACCACCCCTCTGGCAGATCTTACGGTTCAAAAACAGCCTAACAACCTGCGCTTCATAGCTTTGGAGGATTTTGAACCGAATCAGGAGGATGATCTAAGGTTGAAAAAAGGCGATATTAGTAAGCATAACACGCGGAATAGAGAAAATAATGGACTTGCGTTTAATGAACACATAATATGAATTTCAGTTTATGCTCCAATGGATAAAAATTGGCTTGTTGGCTCGTCTATAAGAGGTGTTGGAGCTTTTGCTCTGAATTATGTCAAAATAGCACTGGCAGCTGAAGGAGAGGACAAGTACGTTAATTTTTGATATTCCTTATTTTTATCTTATAAATGACATATATTTCTCTCTCCAATTGTGTTGAACATTTTATAGCAGGAGGATTGTGCCTGAGAATCAAATCGATATGTCTGAGGACACTTCGTCACGTAATACTGCGCCTCTGATCCATGATGAAAATGCCTCCACAAGCTCATCAGGTATATATTTGTATTTAATTAGAACATCTTTTCCATATAAAGCATCAGCAGCATTCAACAATAATATATGGCTCTAAAATTGTTTTCACACAGTCATGTTTACTACTTTAAATTCCTGCATTTTTTATTTTTATATGTTCTAGTTGTTGCCAAATCTACTTGTAGTCATTCTTCGTCAAAATGCTCGGAGGAAGAAGTTGATGCAAGCTCCGGAGAGCAATTGCCTGAAGATAAATGCAAGGAGTCACCTAAAGCTCCAATTATTGGTACTGTACAGGGAGTGATGGTATGTTAATTTTCTTATATTTAAGAAACAAATGTATTAATGGTTGCCCTTTTATCCTTACAGATATACCTTGGAGGTGAATTTTTTGGCAGCAACGCTCGAATGTCTCTAGTAAGTGAGATTGCTACGACTCCGAAATTGCTGCTCGAAGGCACGGTTCGAGGCGTATGCGGTGTCAAGGTCCTGTCGGAATCTACAGTTGGCAGAAAAACAGTATCGGGCGCCAAACCCCTTCCTGAAAACTTAGTTGTCTCTATTTGTGGTAAGCATGAAAGATGAAATTTTTTTGAACATTATGTTTATTTTAAGAAATTCAGATTTTGCCAACTACCTTATAGAGAAGAAATTTGGTAAACAATTCAGGCTTATTGTCAAAGAAGAGCCGGAATACAGTGAAGATGAAGTGGAGAATTATGGAGAGGAAGAAAAAGGATTGGAAGGTGAAGAAGAAGGAATGGAAGATGAAGAAAAGGAAAAGGAAGCCAAAAGAAAGAAGGAAAAGAGGAAAATCAACGCACGTGCCCTCCTTGCCACCCATTTGGGAACCTTGAGAAGATTTTTCCGTAAAAAGGTCGTAGAATTCGAGGATGCAGAGAAAAAGTATAATATCATAGGAATCAAATTTAACCTAATATTCTAATTCCATTTTAATTCCAATTAGAAAACCCAGTGGCATTAACAGGGAAGACTTCGTCCTTATGAACTCAAAGATTGCTCCTGAGACTTACTGGGTATATAGCTATTTCAAAAAATTGTAGTTTAATGTGTGTTTTCTTCTGTTATATCAAGTTTAAATAATTTTCTTTGTCCAATCTGTACAATATGCGTACACAAACTTGTATAATTAAAGCAGCTTTCATAATATTTCGGTTACATCTGTTTATTTGTTTAAAACAGCCTATATAATTTTTTTTTAAAGATATTTATTTTTTATACGATTTAAGTCCAGCTGAGCTCGAAAGCTCATCGGCAGGTGCTCGTTAATTTGCTTGGCAGCTATACAAGTAACATGATATGATTTTGTTGAAATAACTTTTAATTTGAATGGTAACCCGTAGATTTCATGAAAAATTGAAATCTCAATGCAAAAATAAAAGACATTTGACCCCAAAAGGCGACCTATATATGCGGTCTGTTGGTACCAGGTCAGTTGTCATTTATAATTTTTTTGCAATGAGGTTTGTCCAGTTTCAATTTTTCAACTTATAATTTGATTTTATAATTTAGCAAAACTTCTGAAAAGCACAGGTTAATTAAAATACAATAAAATCACACGACGTCTATAATATTATTTAATGATTATCTAACAACTCTAAAGCTTACGATATAAAAAAAGCAGTCTTTAGTTCCATATGAAGTTAATGCCAGTACCTTGGACGAGATCTACACTTGGACGAATTTGACGGTTCATTTCAAGAGAACTTTCCACCCTGGCTTGCGACAATATTTTACTAAGGACTAACATAAAAGGTACGTGATTTTTTTCCACATAAATAAGATGAAGTTTCTTGCAAATATTTAATACTTAAAAGTAGTGGACATACAGTACGAGTAGAGAGATAAGAGTTAAACTTAAGTTTCAAAGTGTTTATAGACTTCCGTCATATATGTATTCCATAACTTGCTGCCAATCTGGTCGCTCCATGTGGGTCATCTCCACAATACTCTGCAAAAATCAAAATAATTAATTTCCTATTCATTGATTAAAAAAGTTATGAACTGACCAAAGTCGTACAAATGCCGTAACTCTCAGCCGCTGAAAACGCGACTGAGAAGTTTTTCCTCTTTCAGTGGGCACAAGTGTGTTGTACCGAACAAGTGCAGGAAAGTAAGAGTGGATGAGAGCGCACAATGCAAACTGTTGTTCCAAGACGGCGTCCTTCGTCTGCACAAGCAAGTGCTTGCTCAAGCCCATCATAAGATTGGTCATTTTCTGAGGATTCTTGCACTCCTGGACAAATGTAAACTTGTCTTCTCCCGACAAATTACAAAAATACAACTCTTATTTTCCAACAAAAATGTTGTTTTAATTATTTAATTAATATCTCAATACCTTAGCTTTGGCATTGGATAAGAGGTTTTCAATTCTGTCATGCTCGATGGCTCTCTCCTGATCATGGCGCAGAGTTGCCTCCAATCTGGTCTTCATGTCGTTTCTTATCAGCCACTCTCACTTCCACCTGAGCCTGCAGCACGGAGAACCTCTCGTTTTGTCTGGCCAAAGCTGTTTTGGGTTTTGGCTGCCAACAAGCGTTCATGGTCATCTCGCACCCTATTGAAACATAAATATTGGAAGAAATAATTCATTTTTAATTCAACCTTTTTCCTACTCCATAGACACATTGCAAGTGAAAATAAATGCATCGGTGACTCGCTTGGGCATGTCCGGGTGCCATGCAAGTGGTTCATAACAATTAGCTTGACCAATTTTGTGCTCAATTTGTTTTTGTGCTGCATCTCCATGATTTCAACCGGGAGGAAGTCAAGTCTTTCTTGTAGATGCTCAAAACTCCATCGATGCAAACTTTAAAGATTGAAAATTTCAAGATACAAAAAAAATCTATTATCACGCAAAATTTGCATTTTTACTTTGCTAAATGGACCTGCCTGACGAGTGGAGTTCAATTCTGAGAGGGCGGTTCTTGAGACTCCTGCGAGGCATTCCATGGTAATTTTGATGCTGTTGATGGCCTTCTGGCAGGTCAGGTCAAATCTCAAATCCTTCAGAAATGATGCGAGGGTGCAGACTTTGCCCTAAAAATTTGTAAAACGAGATATTCTTAATTTTAGAATAGCTTAAAAAGTAGTCTCGGATTCCAGTCTTGCAAATGGTTAGTTAGTATTACTTAACGCACTTCAAGAGTTAAATCTCTTCTCAAACAACAACACTGACAGATAATTTTGAGGAAACAAGAAATTGCTCGATCCATCACTGCAAAGCAGCATTCATTGGGAGTACAGTACATACGCTATTTGAAGTTTAAAGACCCTTGGAAATGTCATTACTAACGGTGCTTCTTTCTGCGACTTTTAGACCCAGAAGCGCTTGCATCAGACTGTGGGTCTGGCACAACGATTTGCCCTCCAGAGATTTCGTCCTTCAGTTCGGACTGGGAAATCTGGTTTTGCTCCCTCCAAGAAAAACATGACATCTCGTAATTGCTCCTTTAAATCAGTCAGTTCCTGAAGTTCAATTGATTTTAAGCATACAAACAAAGCTATTAATTCTACTCATATCTTACTTTCTCCTTATTGGTGATTTGAATTTAAAATCGGCTTTTCCTCGATGGGTTTTTGTGAGTTGTTTATTGTTTCAGAAAAAAAAAAAACTCACAAAAACCCATGGAGGAAAAACCGATTTTAAATTCAAATCACCATGAATCAACCCTCGATCGTGAAATTCTACCACAAAATTCTCCTTATTGTTCTGATAATCGTTGAATTAGGACTCCAGGGCACTGAACTTCTCTTGCCAAGCGCTCTGATTTTGCTGCATTCCGTGGCTCATGCTAACTTCCTGTTGCAGCTCACTTTTTGTAGTAGACAGTTTTGCATTCAATGCTTGGATCTGAGAAAGAATCACAATAATTTAATAGAATTGCAGATCATAAATGTACCAACCTTTTTCTCTTGAGTTTGTTAATCTTTCTTGAGTGAGTCAACTTGCTTCTTCAAACGCTGGTTCTCCTCCGACAACTTATCAACTCTCTCCCGAAGCTCCTCTCGTCTCTTTAAACAATATAAATTTAACAAAAATGCTACTTGAAACCTCTTGAGAATTACCTCGTTGTGAACTTCTTGCTGTAGTCTGATCATTCTGTCCTCAAAGTGGACCCGCTGAGACTGCAGCTGACTTGTAAAAAGATATAAGTGACCTCCAACTGCAAAGAGTCAACCTTTTCCTCTCCAGCCTGTAAAAACTTCCAATAAATACTTTCATCAAAATTTCCACACATGATATATCAAACCCCCGGTTATCAGGAGAACGCCCCTCTTGGTCTGCGCCAACAGCGACCATTTTTCCATCATCTTTATTTTGGAGAAGTCGGTGGACAAAATTGTCTCCGACGTAGTCCCACACTCAATTGCTTCCTAATTGCATTGAGTAGCAGTGCTGCGTCTCCAAAAAGTGCCTTATCGACACGAGTTAACACTTTTACTTTCAATCAATAACGCATACTGAGAAGCATGCCCTTGTACGTATCTTCCACAGCCTACATGCCCACGAATCAGACAAATCCAAAACGAATCAGCCGACTGGCATTCAAAACACTTGTTGTCCACAGCCTCCGGAGTCTGCACATAGCGGCAGACAGGACACCTGTGATAAAAATATTATCAATTAATTTTCCATTTTTAGCAGTATTTTTTTTATTTAATACAACTCACGTCGCATACACCCATTTGGCAAGACAGTTGGAATGGAATGAGTGGTTGCAAAGAATGGTCAAAATCCCATCAACAGACTCGTCCATCCTTTCTAAACACACTGGACAAGTGGGCAGTTCTGTGTGGCCTGGAGGTGGGTCCACGCAATCCCCTTCCCGGACAACCTCCACCCCAGAGACAAATAGGCAACATTGCAAAGCTCGTTGTCAGATAGTGAACTGTAAGGAATTCCATGGAAGGTCCGATATAACTCGTCAGCAGCCACCTAAAATTTTGAGCTAAATAATGCGAATCAAAAATGAAATGAATTTCTAACCTGAGATTGAAATTCGATCACTGCCATGTAGTGGTTGAGCGAAGCTGAGGAATCTTCGGGTCGAATGATTCTCAATAAGTGTTTCATGTCCTCGTGGCATGCTGCAGTGAAAGCTAACAAATCTTGGCAGCTGACGGACGAGGGCACAGCCAATAAACACACTTGTTCTGATCTTTGAGCCTCGTCTTCCATGGAGGTCAGTTCGCTATTTAAACAAATAATTAATTGCACGGGAAAAAATAAATAATTTATGCAATAACTGTATAAATAGTACATATTTTAATGGAAATGGATTAGAAATTAAGATAATTTTATTAAACGATTGCTGAATATAAAAAATATAAGAATTTATAATTGAGAGCCTCATAATGCTCTGCATTATGTAAAAAATAACAACATTCTTTCAATAAATCGTGATAGGTTCTTACTTTTCTTTGTAAAGATGTAGTATTCCTTTGGTAACTTCCACAAATGGGTTTCCAGAAACAAAGGCCACTGGTTCCGAACCACCAGTCTTGCTCGAAGACGCCACCGTTTCAGCAAAATCGACAAACTGTCTCCTGTTGAATCTATTGTTTTTTTTTATAAATAAAGCTACATTAAAACAAGGTCAAGACTACAAAGGGGCGAGATATTGATTTATATATGTAACTTTTCTGTTGCGAAACAAATACAAATATCAGAACTTTTTATTGATGCATTTAAATGTGAAGAGATAATATGAAAGTTAAAATTTAACTTAAATTCGTTACTCGGCGAATTAATTAGGAATGTTTAGAGCAGACCTGTGTAGGAAAGGTGGTCTAGAAGTGGGAACTCATCGCCAATTTCCAGGCGAAATAGGCACAGCGAAACCCCAAAAGACATTATTACATAGGCTCGAGCATTGATTTTAACAGCGCCAACTTAATACTTTTCGCGACTAGTGCGTCCACAAATTCCGCTGTCAAAAGATTTGGGAAAGAGGACAATAAAAGCTCCAGGTGGGTCTTTTTAGCGCTTTTTAGAGCGCAGCAGAGTCAAAAGTCAAAAACCAAAACAAAATGACAAAATGCAGCTGCAGCAGCAAGGGCGCCCCTAGCGCTGAACCTAGGTTTTACGCAGAAATGAGTATATTTGCGGCGGCTAACGGCAGAGTACACGCGCTTTGATTAAATGATCTTTCACTAAATTCACTATTCGTGCAGATTTGTGGTCTATTGGAAGCGCAGGAAAACCATATAAATTTCCTAAATTTCACAACCGTAAGTAAAAGTAAATAGCTTTTAGCCTATAATCACATGCACTACTATAAATTTACATATTTCAAAAAAATAAACCCATGTGTGTTGTTTTGTTTGCTAGCGAAGAGCCATTTCTACATTCACTTCTGTAAAGAACATTTTTCACAGTGTTTTATTAATTAATTTCGTGTATTGACTTGATATAAGATGCTGTGTATTTCAATGCATTGAATGGAGAATAAATATATGAATATGTGTTGTGTTGCACAAAGACGTAGACATAAACAAGCGCATGTTAAAAAATAATGACAAATATCTTTAATGACTTCGACGTGCTATTCAGCAGCAAGATTATTTTAAAAACTAATTTTTATTATCTGATATGACAAGAAAAGCCTGCACTATTAGTTTTGTGATCATAAGGAAATTTTTAAGGAGGGAAAATTTGTGTGTGTGTGTGTGTGTGTGTGTGTGTGTGTATGTGTGGATTTTTATTTTATGAAATAACAACAAAAGCCTGCGCAATTAGCTTTTTAAACATAGCGAAATTTTTTAAAGAGGGAAATTTAGTTTTGTTTTGTGTGGAGTACGTAAATTATATTATTAATTTATAAATATGAAAAAAACATTTCATTTGTATTTTTGGCAGTACTGGTCAATAATTATCAGTATTAATTGTTAATTTGGATGAGTTCATGATGTGGAATTTATTTATTCTCCATTCAGATACAATATGAAAAACACAACATCTTAATTACATCAAGTCAATACACAATATAAAATATTTGGGGCAAAGTTGCCTTTTTCATCGGAAAGTAATATTTTTCAGAAATGTGCTGCTAAAAACTTAAAAAGGGATTTTGTCGATACGATATTTAGTAAAACGTTTTTGCGTACACCCGGGTAAACCGAATTGCAAAGTGCACCCTTCTCAACCCGAAATCCTGCTGCCACCGGACGACTTCAGCAAGTCACTCGCAGTCCCAGTATGAGAAAAGTCCACCTGAGTGTCCTGAGTGGAAATCAAACCCGCAATCTCCGGGGACCGGGATGGAAGACAACCGCACGCTTTTTACTCGTCCACTGGCACGTTAACGCGATTTTCGCGCCACCAAGGGAGTGGTAGAATTGCTGGGCTTATGCAGCATGCGCCACGAGCTTTCATGCGCCACCGCTACCGTCGGTGCCGGCCTGCCGGGTGTCGGTGTGTGTCGTGTGTCGGTGATCAGTGATCATCAATATTTCAGTCGATGGAGAGCTCCGCTGCGGGACGCGGGTTATTGTCACAATTGTTCACATAATCGCGTGTCCTCTCGTCCTCTCTCCACTCGGGCGCCGATTGAAATTTTATTGAGATCGGATTTCGGAATAATAATGGCTTCGTCTTCATCGATAGAATATCGTGTCTATGGATTACCAGAAGACACGTTCTTTACAATTTCTGCCAGTGACTTCCGAGGAAGAAATATACCAAACGGAATCCAATTTGGCAAATACACAAAATACCGTTTTATAAACCCTTTTTCAGGACAAGCCTCACAAGGCTTCATCTTCGAAGTCTTTGAAACGGCGGCCAATAAAGGTATGTACAAAAATTATTGTTTTCGTAATATTTTAGTCAAAATATGCTAGCATTTAATGTTGTCTTTGCTCCTGCGCCGCTTGTATGCTTATACAAGCTTGTACGCTGCATACTATTACTATTGCTCGCGTGATTCAACGACGACAAAAATCAAGACAAAAATATTTCGGAACACATAAATTTCCGTGCATTCAACAGCACTCACTCGGCTTGCCAAACTTTTATGAATCATCAGATCAACATACATATTATTTCTGCCCTCACTTGTTGGTGGCCACGATATTTCGTCCGTCGTGTGTTAAAATTCAAATAATACTGCACCGTACCATGAAGTGGCGTGGATTTTTTTCCTTGAAGAAGCAAATCTATTTTGTAAAGTAAAACTTAAAAATCAGTCTAGCTATTCGGTTTATTAATCAAGGACTTAAGAGAACTATGGAATAGTTAAAATGATTTGATAATTTTAATTTTATTTGTGCTTTTTGTGAATATTTATGAACTATTTCTTCAAAGTCGAAGTTTTATTAACTCTCAAAAATTTTTTTGATAAATCTTCCGACAAACTGCTGCTTAATTGACGAAGTTGTTTTAATAAATATGTTTTTAAATATATAGCGCTTTAATAGTTCGTATGTGTATACACAATTTGTGATTATATTTTTATTAAAGATTAATACATCATCAGAATAATCTTGATCGTTGTTTACTTATCTTTTAGCATCCACCGTTTTGCCATGGTCGGTGGTGGAAAAGAAGGACGTCAACACATCGTCACCTATTATTTTCATAAATGGTATATTTATTAATTAATATAAAACCTTTTTTGTCAATTAACAAACTGCTGTTGAAAGCAAAATTGATATCGTTTTCAATGCATAATTGTTTTCCTTTTTTTAGAATCACCACCGGAGAATGACCAAAGTGTTGTTGAAGTGGTTCCTGAGGAATGGAACGCCAAGCAGGAGCTCAACTTCAACTCATCACCATTTGATGAATCGTCCGTTTTGATCATAGTGGACGAAGGTATTCATTTTTATGTAATTGCTTTGCAGTGTAACATGATTTTTTTATCTTTGAATATTCCAATACTTGACTTAAATATTTTAAACTTGATTGAATCTGTTTTTATTTTATAGGCTCGTCGCCTCCCATTAATAAAAGCGCCGATCCGATCGTGCAGAAGAAACAGCGAACTGCAAATGAACCAACTTCTGATTTCTCTGCAGAGGACCAACAGTCATCATCAGGTACCATATCATTATTCACTTGTCATCATTTCGCCCCATTTAAATTTTTCTATTTTGATGAGATTTTATTAATTTCTTGTGGCCTTGGTTGAAGGTGGCCAAGGCAAAGAGCAGGATGAAATTCCACAAGCAGATCAAGAGCACCCGGCGACCACATCCCCGGCTGCAGATGTTACGGAGGAAGTTCAGCCTAATAACCTGCGCGACTTGGAAGGTTTTGAAGCTGAGAATCCTGATTCCTCTGCAGAGGACCAACAGTCATCATCAGGTACCATATCATTATTCACTTGTCATCATTTCGCCCCATTAAAATTTTTCTATTTTGATGAGATTTTATTAATTTCTTGTGGCCTTTTGGTTGAAGGTGGCCAAGGCAAAGAGCAGGATGAAATTCCACAAGCAGATCAAGAGCACCCGGCGACCACATCCCCGGCTGCAGATGTTACGGAGGAAGTTCAGCCTAATAACCTGCGCGACTTGGAAGGTTTTGAAGCTGAGAATCCTGATTCCTCTGCAGAGGACCAACAGTCATCATCAGGTACCATATCATTATTCACTTGTCATCATTTCGCCCCATTTAAATTTTTCTATTTTGATGAGATTTTATTAATTTCTTGTGGCCTTGGTTGAAGGTGGCCAAGGCAAAGAGCAGGATGAAATTCCACAAGCAGATCAAGAGCACCCGGCGACCACATCCCCGGCTGCAGATGTTACGGAGGAAGTTCAGCCTAATAACCTGCGCGACTTGGAAGGTTTTGAAGCTGAGAATCCTGATTCCTCTGCAGAGGACCAACAGTCATCATCAGGTACCATATCATTATTCACTTGTCATCATTTCGCCCCATTAAAATTTTTCTATTTTGATGAGATTTTATTAATTTCTTGTGGCCTTTTGGTTGAAGGTGGCCAAGGCAAAGAGCAGGATGAAATTCCACAAGCAGATCAAGAGCACCCGGCGACCACATCCCCGGCTGCAGATGTTACGGAGGAAGTTCAGCCTAATAACCTGCGCGACTTGGAAGGTTTTGAAGCTGAGAATCCTGATTCCTCTGCAGAGGACCAACAGTCATCATCAGGTACCATATCATTATTCACTTGTCATCATTTCGCCCCATTTAAATTTTTCTATTTTGATGAGATTTTATTAATTTCTTGTGGCCTTGGTTGAAGGTGGCCAAGACAAAGAGCAGGATAAACTTCCTGAAATATTTACTGCTGACGATGCAGACGACATCCAGAAAGCAGTTGAGTCCAATGAAATGCTCTCACAAGAGTACGAGGCGACCACCCCTCTGGCAGATCTTACGGTTCAAAAACAGCCTAACAACCTGCGCTTCATAGCTTTGGAGGATTTTGAACCGAATCAGGAGGATGATCTAAGGTTGAAAAAAGGCGATATTAGTAAGCATAACACGCGGAATAGAGAAAATAATGGACTTGCGTTTAATGAACACATAATATGAATTTCAGTTTATGCTCCAATGGATAAAAATTGGCTTGTTGGCTCGTCTATAAGAGGTGTTGGAGCTTTTGCTCTGAATTATGTCAAAATAGCACTGGCAGCTGAAGGAGAGGACAAGTACGTTAATTTTTGATATTCCTTATTTTTATCTTATAAATGACATATATTTCTCTCTCCAATTGTGTTGAACATTTTATAGCAGGAGGATTGTGCCTGAGAATCAAATCGATATGTCTGAGGACACTTCGTCACGTAATACTGCGCCTCTGATCCATGATGAAAATGCCTCCACAAGCTCATCAGGTATATATATTTGTATTTAATTAGCACATCTTTTCCATATAAAGCATCAGCAGTATTCAACAATAATATATGGCTCTAAAATTGTTTTCACACAGTCACGTTAAGTACTTTTAATACCTGCATATTTTATTATGTTCCAGTTGTTTTGCAATCTGCAAGCCTATCTCAGCGAAGTCTCCCTGAATGTTCTGAGGATCAGGAAGCAGAGATCTCTGAGGAGCAATTGCCAACAGACATAGTGCGTACTGACGACAATAAAGCTCAATTGCCCTCCATCGGTCAGGTTGTCTCCAGTGTGATGGTAAATATTATTTGTTAATTATCTTATATCAAAGAAACAAATCAAACAAATGTGTTAATGGTTGGCCTTATATCTTTACAGATTCACGTTGGCGGCGGATTCTTTGGAAGCAACGCTCGTTTTTCACTTATCCTAAAAACTCTTCCAACACCACAAAAGATTGTTGAGGGTACATTTCGTTCATATGTTGGAGTAAAGAGATTAACTACCGCAAATCTGACGCCAAAGGAAATGGGTGGAAATCCAATTTTGAAGCCTCTCTTTGTAGTCCTAATCAGTAAGTATAAATGTGAAGGAAACTTGTATTGAGTTTATTAATTATATGAATGAAATTGCAGATTTTGCTAATTTCCTGATCGAAAAGAAATTTGGCAATAAATCGCTCCTGACCTACAATCAATGTTGCTCGATAGTATCCAACCATTACACTTTCTGCCAAAACAACTTTGCGGAGAAGATAAAACATCTGGAGAAAGAAGAAAGGAAGTAAAAATTTAAATATTTTACTGGAAATGTCAAATCAATTTCCAATTTTTTTTTTTTAGTCATCCCTCTGGCATTCCTAAGGAACAGATGGTTCTTCGGGTCTTGGATCAACCAAGTGAGACTTTCTGGGTGTACGGGCTAAACAGAAAATTGAACCATGTATAGTTTTTGTGCTTTGCTTCTTCAGTGAAAAAGAAATCTCAAATATTTATGTCTTATATTTTTAATAGATTTTGTCTGATTTAATGCATGATTGAAGTATATATTAATGGGCTGAGATATGATCAGTATAATTAATCCTGCATAACTGGTAATTTTAAGAGGCTGATTAAATAATAAACTTATAGGATTATTTTGCTTTAATGATATGCTGTATTCTTTATTGTGTGAAAGAAAATCAAATTTATGTATTTATCACAACCTCCGACGTCCTGTGCGCAACCTGAGCCTATGGGAGGTCTTGATGGCCTATTGAGCTTCCAAGCAGCACTAGGCCGGCTCGTTGGCAGGAGACATTCTGCACTCTTCCAACTCTTCAATCTAGTTATAAAAGCAAATATTAAAAACTGTTTACGTCAAACAAATAAATATCTCAATACCTTCGCTTTGGCATTGGCTAGGAGGTTTTCAATTCTGTCATGCTCGATGGCTCTCTCCTGAGCATGGCGCAGAGTTGCCTCCAATCTGGTCTTCATGTCGTTTCTTATCAGCCACTCTCACTTCCACCTGAGCCTGCAGCACGGAGAACCTCTCGTTTTGTCTGGCCAAAGCTGTTTTGGGTTTTGGCTGCCAACAAGCGTTCATGGTCACCTCGCACCCTATTGATACATAAATATTGGAAGAAATAATTCATGGGATAAAATTTTAATTCAACCTTTTTCCTATACTCCATAGACACATTGCAAGTGAGAATAAAGGCATCGGTGACTCGCTTGGGCATGTCCGGGTGCCATGCAAGTGGTTCATAACAATTAGCTTGACCAATTTTGTGCTCAATTTGTTTTTGTGCTGCATCTCCATGATTTCAACCGGGAGGAAGTCAAGTCTTTCTTGTAGATGCTCAAAACTCCATCGATGCAAACTTTAAAGATTGAAAATTTCAAGATACAAAAAAATCTATTATCACGCAAAATTTGCATTTTTACTTTGCTAAATGGACCTGCCTGACGAGTGGAGTTCAATTCTGAGAGGGCGGTTCTTGAGACTCCTGCGAGGCATTCCATGGTAATTTTGATGCTGTTGATGGCCTTCTGGCAGGTCAGGTCAAATCTCAAATCCTTCAGAAATGATGCGAGGGTGCAGACTTTGCCCTAAAAATTTGTAAAACGAGATATTCTTAATTTTAGAATAGCTTAAAAAGTAGTCTCGGATTCCAGTCTTGCAAATGGTTAGTTAGTATTACTTAACGCACTTCAAGAGTTAAATCTCTTCTCAAACAACAACACTGACAGATAATTTTGAGGAAACAAGAAATTGCTCGATCCATCACTGCAAAGCAGCATTCATTGGGAGTACAGTACATACGCTATTTGAAGTTTAAAGACCCTTGGAAATGTCATTACTAACGGTGCTTCTTTCTGCGACTTTTAGACCCAGAAGCGCTTGCATCAGACTGTGGGTCTGGCACAACGATTTGCCCTTCAGAGATTTCGTCCTTCAGTTCGGACTGGGAAATCTGGTTTTGCTCTCTCCAAGAAAAACATGACATCTCGTAATTGCTCCTTTAAATCAGTCAGTTCCTGAGGTTCAATTGATTTTAAGCATACAAAGCTATTAATTCAACTCATATCTTACTTTCTCCTTATTGTTCTGATAATCGTTGAATTTAGGACTCCAGGGCACTGAACTTCTCTTGCCAAACGCTCTGATTTTGCTGCATTCTGTGGCTCATGCTAAAACTTCTTGTTGCAGCTCACTTTTTGAATGAAGACAGTTTTGCATTCAATGTTTGGATCTGTCAATGAGAAAGAATCACAATTTAATATTTGATTTGATAGAATTGCAGATCACAAATCAACCAAGCTTTTTCTCCTGCGTTTGTTAGTGAGAAGTGAGTGGAACTGTTTGAGTGGGCGGTCGAGATAATTTGAATGTATGCGCCAATTTTCAGGTCCTTTGCAGTACAAAACTTGACAATTGTGTCACACAATTGCTGGCTAAATTGAGCAATCTTGGCTCCATTGAATTTAGCAACTGGAAGAGTGTACAATTTTAAATTAGATTAGTTTTTATACCTAAAAGTTTTATAATTACTTTTAACAAAGTTCTCTTTTTGGCTCGGTCGGAGTTTGGATAGCTCCAGAGGGCCTTTGTTGTGACATTCATGTAAGGCATAATGTCCACATCACTGACAATGTCAGATCTGACTTTGATAAGCTCGTCATAAAGCAATTCCTAGATACTGAATGCTAGAATATCTGAGACACATTACAATTTATCTAGAGCTTACAATATTTTTACAGTCTTCTTCAACTCTCTTCTGGGTGCTCACTTTTGACTGCCAGAGTTAAGGCTTTTTTAAATCTGAACCTTTCCAAATCTTTATTGATTTCAGCATCCCTAAAATAAAATTGTTACGGCCAGTCTAAACTCACACATCTGATCACAATTTTTACTTTTAATTTTTAGCAAAACAATTTTGTCAACTACGCACCTGGCTTGCCGATGCCCATTCCAAATGCAACCGTAGCAACCACAACTTGGATTTTGTCTATGACAAAGTTTTGATGCACCCCTTTTCTTTTCGAGAGTGATAAACCAGTATGATCAAAGCTTCCACATATGGAGTTTTCAATACTAGAAGTGTTAAAAATAAATTTAACATCATACTTTGTAATTAATTTCTATTTAAAACGAAGGAAAGGATCAACTTTAAATCTAATTCATTGAATAAACTAAATGTTATGTACAATTTTTCTATTATTTTCAATTTAAATACATTTTTATATTCTTACGCTGCAAAGTGCTATCGACAGCATTGCTTTCTTTCTTTTTGGGACAGTAAATGATAGTTAAGTCATCAAACTATAGTGTGAAGAACCAAGAACCTTAAATTTTTTGATGGCCAAGAACTTCAGGTCGTCAGCTATGTTTCCCGACTTCACATCAACAGCCAGAGAGAGATTTGGCCTGTCAAAGCCTGAGTTCACCATTGTAGGTGATTTCAGTTTCAAGGATTTGCAAATGTCCCTCCGAACTTGAGGAGTGGTTGTAGAGGTCAGTGCGAGAAATGGCACATGAGGAAAGATTTGCTTCAAATTGCCCAGGTTTCTGTACATAGTTGCTAAGGTTAATTTTTAATTCCAATTTGGATATATCAAACTGACCTGTAAGAGGATCTGAAGTCATTGCCCCACTGACTGACCCAATGAGCTTTGTCGACAGCGATGAGGACAACGTCTAGATTTGCTGCCATTTTTTTTCAGAAGAGATTTCCCATTTTCACCAGAACAGAACTCGGGAAACATGTAAAGATGCAAATCAGGCGATGCTGACTTTCCATGATCTCTTCTAGAGTGGATGTTATTGAAGTTTGTGCTGTTCCGAGAACCCAGGCAGGAAATTTTTGAAACCTAAGAAAAGGCAAAAAGAATAATAATAAGTATTACATTTATATTTTTTGTGATATAAAACCACTAAAGTGATGATAAAAAATATTCTTACTATAAGTCTAAGGACTTGATCTTCCATCAAGGCAATCAAGGGTATGAATATAACGGTTGAAACTCTCTCGGAAATTGATTACAGACTTTTGCCATAACCAGTTGACATCAGGACACAGCTGTCTCTTTATACCTAAGAACAAAGCATATAATAAGTATTCGTTTTCGTTTTAATTATAAAAAGATGTTGAAGAAACCTCTAGTACAGTGGAGTTGATTTTCCATTGCAAAGGATGGAATGTATTGTGACCAAAAAATACTTTCACAGCGCTTGCCTTGCAGGTGCTTTAAAGCGTCTCCAATTGGAGACGGTTGAGTTTGGCTTTCACTAAAAATCACAAATAATCAAAATTATCTTCTTTCTTTCAAATCGTGTATTTGACTTTGAAAGCGCAAAACTTGCCATTTCTCTAGCCTCTGATTTCGATACGTCTCCGCGCAAAAGTAACAACTGGATCAAGTGCTCTGTAGTGACATCAGGATACTTTTCAACCAGTGCATGCAGGTCCAAGGAGAGCATTTCCGAGTCTTCATTTTTCAGCACCTCGGCAAGTGAGTTGATGGCTTCCAAACAAGTATTTTCATGAGCCATATCATGAGCAACTTTTAAGAAAAATGCCTGTAGTTTATTTGCCTCATTAATTATCTGGTTAGCACCCTCTCATCGATCGTCACTAGTTTTGAAGGCCATCTTCTTTTGCAGCATTGCTGTGATATATTTTTTGGCAACAGTGTTGATGCACTCAGTAATGACCAAATCAAAATTTTCTGGCCGCAAGTGCCTGTAATCGCTAATGTAGTCATCCAGAGTGACACAAATTGTGTCGACCGCCGAACTACTTCCCACCCACTTTGCAGTAACAAATTCTTGAAAATGAAGCTCCAAATCTAACAATGCCTCTTCTAATAAGTAACGAGCTGACTCAGTTCGCAAATTCTAAAAAAAAAGCAATCATAAGTCTCTATTTTCATTTTAGGGTGAGTATTACCTGGAACGTCATCCTCAAAGTCTCAAATCTTTGGCCAGCCATGATATCATGAATGCCTGGCTTCCAGTAATGCATTTTTGTTTGGTTTGCTAGCTCTTCGAATTGAAGACAGTTGTTGACAATTTTAATCATGTAAGTTGTGAAATATGGGTTCTGTGATAAATTCATTAAAAAGTGACTAAAATATCAAAATAGATATCCTTACCAATTTTCTATCTTCAAAGTGACTGACTTTGTATTGAAAGATGGCTTCTCTATAAAGATTGCCATATTGGGCAACTTGCCCGATGCTCAGCAAGAGCGCCTTGAACGTTAGATCGTGGCTAAAAATATACCACATTTCATTAAGGTTGAAACTTTTTGTTTATTTAATAAACCTTATTGTGTTTGTAACTTGCAGATTCTGTTCAATCATTTGGAAAATTATGACTGGAGCCACGGTGTGATAGTATTCTTGATCATCCGTATCAGGCTGTGATTCTTTCATCCAATCTTGCTTCTCCGTTTCCAGAGTCTTGTACATCCACTCGGAGTAGTTCATTTCCATATTCTTTAAATTTTGAAATTAATTTTCAATGATTATATAGATTTATGTTTTAAATCGCTCTTACCTTCAAGTACTGGTCCTCCAACTCTACGACCTTCTCACTTGATAGAAGAGGTCCCAACGAAGAAGTATTTATGTTCAGTTCAGGGTTCATCATAAGATCAGAACCGTTGTAAGTGTTCTTAATCCAAGAGAGAAGAGTCACATACTCATTCCCGACCAAACCAGCATGTATCAAGTCCATCAGCTAATTGATTTGGACCAACAATTATAAATAAAAATTTTATTCAATTATTTTGAGGCAACTTACGTGGCGTGATAACGAGTCGTGGTACATTTTTACAAACATATTTAAAACATCATAATGTGGAGGAAAGCAAGGCACACAAAGGTCCTTGACAACTTGCAAATCTTCAGAAATCAGGAGTCGGGTTAACTACAACGTTGAGAAAACATATTATTATTATGGCCACTCGACAATAAAATTTTACCTCTAAGTGTCGTACAAGCCACATTTTGTTGTCGGAGCGTTCATCTGTTTGTGTTCCTTCAATTCTCTGTGCAGCACCAACAGCCAAAACATCCATCGACATCTGTTTCCACTTTTTAGGGCGTCCAGGAGGCATAAAACCACTACGCTGGAAACGCTACAAGATTTTTGTTAATGAAGATTTAATTATAATAATTTGAATTGTACCTCTTGGGCTTCAGCGTCAGCTTTTTCCTCCCTCTCAATTATCCTCAGCGCAGTGACAATCACAGTTGGCTCTTTTCTGACCGTATTTAGAGTGCGGCCGAGGATCAATTTGATTTGCTTGGCGAAGTATTTGGAGAGCTCGTTGACATCTTCAAAGTATTCCTTGAGCATGATAGTATCAGCAGGTGCTTGGTTGGGAAGTTTGTGGAGCTCGAAGAGCAAATCATCGCGTGAATTCTCCAAATCGGCAAGGCTCTGAAAAACATCACCACTTAAAATTGCAAATAAGAAAAAGAGTGGAATTTATTACTTGGTGAGCGTGAAGAAGCTTTCCTTCGCTGATCCACTGCTTAGTTCTTTCAACGCTTTCAGGAACAGTAAAAATATGCTTCAGGTTCTCCATGGCCGTCACATACTGGGAATGTCTCATGTTTTCCTCTCTCACATCTTGCAGCCTCAAACTCAAATCTGGCACACTCGTGAAAAAATCCTCCAAAACTTCCAAGCTAAAGTTGTATTAGAATAGATCGTTTTAAAATAATTTGACTCTTAATACTTTTGCTTAATTTCTTGGACATCCTTCAATGACACCTGCAACTGGTTCAGTCCGACACGAACACCATCAAGTTGACTCTGCATAGCCGTTTTTAGCATTGATTCTACAGAGGCCTTCTTCCGCTCAACCCTACGCTTATATTGATCAACCTGCAAAAAAAAAATTTTAAAAATTTATGCATAAAAATAAAAATCAAAACATTATTTATCAAGCTCCAAAAGATAATTTGCAAACCTTTTCCAGCTGATCAACTCGCTGAAGGAGCTGTTGAACCCTCTTTTTAGCATCTTCCTTTGCCTTTATTTCCAAATTGTCAAAATCCATCTTACTAAAAAAACTGCAAACACACTAAATTAGAGAAATTGACGAGTGTTAATTTACTTGAAATACATTTTTCCGCTCTACAATTTTCTTATGTTGACATTTTCTGCGGAGGGGTGTTTTCCAAGTGGGCGTTTCCTTTTAATTAAGTACACAACCAAGCCACTTGGCAGCACAGCACAGCAGTCAGCAGAAGAAGGGAATACGCCAGGTGAATGGAGGCCGAGCCGCAATTTTAGGAATTTTGACATCGAATCTAGTAGACAAAGACACGATCAGCATCTCCGGATAGCAGTTCGAAGCAATCATGTTGAAGCACGCAAACCTTTCCCTCGTCAGTCACATCGTCAGGTGAAGAATTTGCTGTTTTTATCAGAGAATTCCCTGCTAAGAAATTGGCCTAGTGATTTAGTCGACATTTCTTTCACAGCTGATTATGTTGTTTGTGTAATACAATGCGATCGGTAGGTCGTGTTACGACAGACGACACTGCAAAATACTTTTCCTTTTTCACCCCATTTTGCATGTCAATACACTTATATTTTACGCTTCAATCAATTCCATATTTAGCAAAAAAAAATCCGTGTTGTAAACTATTTACATATTTTTATTTTTTATTTATACGGAGTAACGTTGCAATTTTTTTTCGCTTTTGTTTATTTCAAATTGTTTTCCTTTCAACGTGTGCATCATTCAAGGTTGAAACTGTCATCAGATTCAACATCTTGGTTTTATATTAACAAGTTGCAAAACTGGTCTGTTAATATATTTCTCTTCAGACACTGTAGGCGCTTGCTCTTTGGACCACTTCCAAGAAAAAAAAACTTTTGTTACCACCTTGAATATATAGATTTTTCTTGTAAAAACTCTAAAATTTTTTTTATCTCAATTTTAATCAGTTAAAATTATTGACTTTAGTTTGATTATAACCTGTACTTAACTTTTAACACTTCCAGAACATTTGAGACACATTTTGTTTTCTATGTTTTACATGAGTAATTAGCTGCTTAATGTGATTGCCCACAAGTGACTAAAACAACTTGTTTTCAGGGTGTCCAAGCGATCTGTTGGCTCTGTTGTCAACATACCTAAGGTCGAGGATTTCGGAGTACAAAACGAGCCCATTTTAGGTAGGAAAACTGCATCAAACATAATTTCTCTCTATTTATCAAATTGTGTAGGATATCTCAAAGGGAGTAAGGAGCGCAAAGAGCTGCAGGCAGCTCTTGACAAGCTCTCTTCTCAGTGTCAAGATGTTCCGATTATCATTGGCGACAAGGAAATTAAAAACTCAGATATCCAGTACCAAGTCATGGTATGATATTTAAAAAAACAAAAGAGCGAGAAATATTAATTGCCAAAGTATCATTTTTAGCCCCACGACCACAAAAAGAACATTGCAAAGTTTTACCATGCATCAAAAGAGGAGGTGAAGAAAGCCATCAATGTTGCGACTGACGCCCAAAAGCGTTGGGACCGAACACCTCTGGACGAACGTCTTTCTATTTGGAATAAGGCTGCCGACTTGATGGCTGGAAAGTACCGCATGGAGCTGAACGCAGCAACCATGTTGGGCCAAGGAAAGACTGCAGTGCAGGCAGAAATCGATTCTGCTGCAGAATTGATAGATTTCTTCCGGTACACTTTTAAACTGTTAATTTAAGCACAAAATTAACATTTTTTTTTTAATTTCTAGATTTAATGCGTATTTTGCTAAGGAACTGTTGAAATATCAACCTATAAGCGAAGACTCCAAGGTGACCAAAAATTCAATGCGATATCGAGGCATTGAAGGTTTTGTGGCGGCTGTCGCTCCATTCAACTTCACGGCCATCGGTGGCAATCTTGCCTACACGCCTGCTCTGATGGTGAGTTGATAATAATTTCAAGACACTCTGAAAAATTAGTTTTTACACCAGGGTAATGGAGTGGTGTGGAAGCCGTCGGACACAGCTGTGTTGTCCAACTACGTCATCTACAAAATTTGTAGAGAGGCTGGCGTTCCTGCTGGTGTGGTCAACTTTGTCCCTGCCGACGGACCAGTTTTTGGCGATACGATCACTGCGTCTCCTCAGCTTGCTGGCATCAACTTCACAGGATCTGTCCCGTAATTTAATTTGGACATCAATTTTTTTATCTTCCTTAATTTTTAAATAACTGTAGAACATTCAACCGATTGTGGGCTCAAGTTGGAAAGAACATCAACTCGTATAAAAACTTCCCCAGACTGATTGGCGAGTGCGGAGGAAAGAATTACCACTTTATTCATCCTTCAGCTCATGTCGAGTCGGTCGTCATGGGCACGATTCGATCTGCCTTTGAATATTGCGGGCAAAAATGCTCAGCTTGCTCCAGGATGTATGTTCCAGAATCTCTCTGGCCACAGGTAAACTCTGTTAATTTTTTACATATTTGTTTATTTTGTTTATTCATCTTTGCTATAGATTAAGGAGGGGCTTCTCGCATTAAGAGACAAGTTGAAGGTAGGACCCGTGACTGAATTTGACTCGTTCATGTCTGCCGTCATTGACGAAAAGGCTTTCAATCGAATCAAAAGCTACATTGACAAAGCAAAGAACTCCTCAGCTCTCAATATCTTAGGTGGCGGACAATATGATGACAGGTTAGAAACGATGTTTCAGTTTAATTACAAGAGACTGATATATTTTTACTTTCAGCGTTGGTTACTTTGTTCAGCCTACGATCATACAGACAAATGATCCCAAGCACCGCATCATGAGCGAAGAAATTTTCGGCCCTGTTCTCTCCATTTACGTTTACCCGGATAAAAAAGTTGATTCGATGTTGGAGCTTGTCAGCGAAACGGCACCTTATGCACTGACTGGAGCTATTTTTGCTCAAGACGAGTGAGTTGAAAGCAAAGTTATTTGGATTTGTTAAATGCTTATTGTAAAATTCACAGAAATTTCTTGAAATCTGCCATTGATGACTACAAATACACAGCTGGAAACTTCTACATAAACGACAAATCAACAGGCTCCGTTGTTGGTCAGCAACCGTTTGGAGGAGGTCGTCTCTCTGGTGAGTACAACTTTCATCATTTCCAATCCAATTTCAATGAATCCAAATTTCTCAGGAACAAATGACAAAGCCGGAGGTCCCCATTACGTCTTGCGCTGGGCCTCGCCTCAGTCCGTAAAGGAGACCTTCGTTCCTTTGACAGAATGGAGATACCCTTACATGGACTAAATCTCCGCTCTACCGATTGCATTCATTCTTGCCCTCTCCTCCCTGTTTTTTGCACAACGAAAATCGGTGCATAACATCAAACGACCATTAAGGAATTTGTTGCTAGGTTGTGCCATTTGAGAAAATGTACCACGATTGCAGTGTTGCGTAGAAATCCCTTGCATAAACCCAAATAATCAGTTGTTAGGTACTCAGTGCGATGCAAAATTGCATATTATTGAGTGGAACATATTTGGTCACACATTTGTTCAATCGAAGTATATTTTGGTGCTGGAAGTACTTACTTAAAATTCTTGCCAGCCGTGCAGTATTACTCAAGAGTACTTACCTTTGAAAAGTAATAACTTGTGATTATTGATTTAGCTAGGTGTATTATGTGCTTTTAATTTGCCTCAGGTCTTGGCCGAGTGCATTTTTTTTAAATTTCTTGTACAAAAGTTTACTCTTATTTTTCTACTCTTATTGCATTTTATTTAAAAACAAATCTTGATTCTTGCCTCAAAATGAAGAAATTCTTGCAAAAATAAAAACAACTACAACACTATGTTCTTTGCTAATTTGAAATTGGCTATTTTTGCATGACGACGAGTCTTAATTAGGGCACGAAAACCAACTTCCGACACCATCATTGGTGTGAAGCGAAAAAGTGCTGAATGTAGCATCTTGACAAAAATGATGATGACAATATGAAGTATTACTAATAATGGTATTACAGTTGTGTAATGTTTGCCTTACTTAGTAGTACTGCAAAAGTATTCCCAGTGTTACGAAAAGAACAATAACGTATGTACCCATATCCCTTTTCTTGAATCAAATCGTACGCGGGATTATTATTGTATTTTTTATTAAAAGTTTATATCAATTGACGGATGGCATGCATTTACTCATTTGATTTGCATTCTTAAAAACATTTGTCACTTCTTCACCTTTCCGAAAGTCACAAAAGTCTTCTACTTTTTGTGGAAAGTAACGCAAAATTTGAAAACCATCCGTTCACTTGATTATTGAAGAAATGTATTTGTTCATTGTGATATGTTGATTGTATGTTGCATATATTTCAAAATTAAGAACAACATGTCGAGTAACAGTCAAATCATTAATGTGTAATAATATTAATATTAGAAAAGGAAAACTTTATCTAACATTGTACGGTATGAACTCATAAAGATGAACCAGCAAATTGTAAAATCAACACGAGTTTAATTCAGAATCTCGTTCCTATTTTTTTCGGAAGTAATTTTTAGCTGCTGAAGGTCATGAAATTTCAGGTGCCAAGTATTTTTTGCATTAATGATGACGCAAATTTCCTTCGCTTTACAATTGAATTGCACATCCTGCGTTTGTTTGCGTATCCCTGGCCCAGTGGCCGAACGGAATTCACCTTTTTTAATTCTCACAATCATTTTGATCAATTTGCGTCCGGCCAGGATCTCCAACCACTTAAATTCCATCTATTTCTCAGGGGTCATATTGATTTCTGGTTGGTTTCCCCCTCGAGGGCAGTCTCACTTGCCAAAATTCAATATTTCTAAACTTGTCCATTAGGGAAATTTTGCTCTTCGTGACGCACAAAAAGCAAGTCACGCCAATTGACTTCCAATATAAACATGTCACCTACTCTACGACAATATTTTCCCCTGCGCCGGAGGCCTATTATAAGAGATGATACGCAATATTTTTGCCATTGTGGCTAGGTAAATATTTTTTTGCCGTGTTTTTTTAAGCATTACGAGATGAAGCGTTGACCTGAAATTTCAGACCTTTTTATAATAAATTTAAAAAAAATGTATTTGTTTAATTAATTGTAATTTAATTTATTTCAACAAAAACAAAATTCCTTTTTTTTAATCATTTAATTCAATCAAACATAATCAATTCTATTTAAAAGATAACAATTTTATTTTTTTCTTTCTGGCAAAGTATTTTTTAAAGCAATTTTTAACATACATTCAGAAACTTATTGTTGGCGAGAAAACCACTGCTTGGAGAACAAAAAAGAATGTCAAAATTTTAATATTTAATTGAAAATTTTAATTATTTTCAAATCAGATTAGGATTTCTGTTTCCAAAAAATAAATTTTTCATTTAAAATTCAAAATCAAGTCATAGACAACAATGAACATTACCATGGAAAATCCATAATTTTATTTTCGTTATTTTTATTTTTTTTTTTCAACAGAAGTCTTAATCTGTTTGAAAAAGAATTAAGATTTGAAAATAAAAGTTGAAAGTTTATCATTTTAATTCATTTTCTGAGCATTGGTTTTCTCGCTCAGTTTCTGAATCCAGTAATCCCTGTTAAAATTTATTTTGAAAAAAACAAACGGAAACTGGAATCCACTAAACAACGCAAACACGACACAACTCTAAAAAATGGCAAAAATCCACACACACCCACACTAAAAAATTAAATTTTTTTTAATTAGATTTATTTATTTTTCGCAGACTGGTTAAATTGCTTTTTTTTGTTCAAATAAAACTATAATTTTTTTTTGCGGAATTTAATTATGTTTTCATAAATAAAATATTTAATTATTTATAAATAATGCAGCACATCTTTTTTCAGAGCATAATAACAATAACAAAGCGTAACAAAGGTAAGCGACTTAATAATAATAAATAAAATTTGTAAAGTAAAAAAAAAATATATATCAGGTTTCAGATAAATCCAGAAATTTCCAGTTCAGCGGTACAAGTCCAAAAATTTGTGGTAATAAAAAATGTAAAAAACGAGATGATGGAATTAACACGAGTCCCCTTCTACCGCTCACCGAGCTCCGAATGGTGCTCACGTTCGGTGAGCACCGAGGTTCCCCCACTGCCTGATGAACGATGAATTCTGTGCCCCGCTCGCTCTCGCGCTGGTAAGAGGCTCGCGTTGCAACTCTCGGGTCTTTCAAGTTCATTTTCCTTGTTTTCTGCTTCAGTCAGTCGAGTCCTAGGGCTTGAGGAGGCGATTAATCAGCGGTCAGACTCGACCGTCCCTCGCGCATGGTGCTCGGCTGAGTCGTTGCTGGACGCTTCACCCTTCCAGCAAGGACGAAATGCCGCGTGGTCACCGAGTCGTCGACGCAGCTGAACAGCAGTTCATCCGTGAGTGCAACACACACAACTTTTTATCATTTCCAAACACAACTTCCTCGCTCTCTCATGTGACTCTCGGCGCTTATGCCGAGCATTGCGTTTCGAAACTTTTCGCGCCCCGTCCGATGCGCCTTGCTCAAGCTGCATTCTGGTGATCACCTATTTAATTCGCCTTGCAGTGTATTTTTAATTTTCACTTTCACTTCACGTTTATATGATGGGTGATTGTTTACGCGGCACAAATCTATTTATTTACAAACTAATTTCACTCCATCTCGATTTTAATTTAATTTAAAAAATGATAAATTTTAAAATTAAAGGTTTTTTTATATCAAATTTAATTAATTATTTAAAATAATTTATTTTCTTAAAATTTCTGAATTTCTTAGCGTTTCAAATACAACGCATGCATGACTAATGGGGAAATCATCCTGTAGCAAAAAGTGTGATAAAATTTAAGCTACAAAGCTCTTTTTATCTTTCAATGTGACGCAAGCAGAAAGCAGATGTCTCATACTTAATAGAATATTTTTATTTTCTTAGAATTTCTCACACTCCGTCTTATTAGGATTTTATTTTTAAAAAACACTTGTAGATGGGTGATAAAAGTCTGGAGTTGATAAACTTGATAAAATAAATGCAGGCGCCGCGTCGAAGTGATAAACAAATTCGGCGCGCGGCGCAGTACAATTTTACTCATGATTAAGGTGTGTCGAAAAAAAGCGCTTCGGTGTGGGCAAAAAGGAGGAAAGTGGGGATTGCAGGCTGCAGATAAGACCTTGTTATTGTTATTATACGGAGCCATTCTTTTCCACACGGCTGGCGAGCGAGTTTTCTTGGTGGTTTCTTGGCCGAAAGCCACAACTATCAACAATAATAGCTCATAATTTGGACTAATTTAGGACTTGACAGAACAAAAATAAGTTATTACACCTCAGGTTAAAATTGAAAACAATCTTCCATTAAAAATATTGAAGACGTTGTTTTTAAATAAACTATTTAATTGTTTCTTAATATTATTATTTATTATTAATTACGCTGCCATAATTTTAAATCTTGAAGATTCCACACAGTAAAAAATGATAAAAAGTAATTAAAGAGTAATATTCTTCTGGTTAATATTGCTACATATCTGTGAAGATGAAAGAGCTCCACAAATATTTTATTTTTGTTTTTGAATTGGTAAAAAAAAATTGTATTTAAAACTAAAATTAGATTCGAATATAAAAAAAAAATCAAAATTATTTTTATATAAATAAAAAATTAGTTTTGATTTGTTGAAAAATATAATATAACACGGCGCCCTATTTTAACTTCTTGAAGTAAAATATTACAATTTTTATTGCAGTAAAATAAAATTATAAGGAGAAATTATTAATATTGATAATGATAGACTAATTTTAAAGTTTACTAGCAAATAAGTAAGTTTATTAAAATTTGAACTAGAATTTAAATAATGTTGGAGATCGCTGATATTCAGTAAAATAATTGGGCTCTCATTGTTGAAAGAGAACAATCAGTTCAGTTGCCTTGGTCGAGCAAAAACATCTCGAGCCTGTTGACCTTATTAACTGTAAAATCTGCCACTTTTCCTGATGTGCGCCGGTCTCCCATTATTTACCATCGAGGTCCTTAACCCCAACTGCCAAGACCTCTCACAAAAGCGCGCACATTGTACCGTCGATTTAACAAGGTATTCGAGCGCCGCGAATGCAGTGTCATTCTAAATAATAGCCCAAATTAAACACACATGCGCCGTCTAATAAATTGGGTCAATTCATCATATGCAGCTGAGATCCTGTGCAAAAAAATAAGTGGCAAAGCCAACAAGAAGTCTCGTCGTCCGCGCGCTTGTTCCTCGGCATACTTCTTCTTATCGCTGCGGGCGCATTTTTCTCACGAGCAGAAGGTTCCACTTTTGGTTTCGTCTGACAATGAGCCAGACTGGATTAGAATAAAAACACACAGAGAACATTGCATTTCTGCATTCCCCGTGCTTCTGTCAAGAAAAAAAATCGAAGGATCAAGTTCTCGGAACAATGTGCGAAAAGGGGTACAAAGCATTTAAGAGGATTCTCTGGGCTATTATTTCTCATCGCAGGCAAATTTAATATTGAAATATTTAAAGAATTATTAACGCCGGAGAGTTTTTTAGATAAGTTTTTAATTGACCCAGAAAATCGCGTGAAATTAATTAATGACGTGGCCTTGAAAGATAATCAGCATACAGGTGGTCTCGATAAAAATTGGAATTTTTTTTCAAATTAATTATTTTGATGTCCCTGATGGCGTTTTTTTTACGTTATTTTCTAGCGTTTCCTAATTTTATACTTTACTACGAATAAATTATTTTAACTGACATTGAAACTCTGAAACCTGCATGATGAAGTATAGATTACAAAAAGTAAACATTAAGTAACTTTAGCCAATGAGGTTGAGGTAATCTCATCAAGCCAGACACAGTCGGGAGGAAACCTTGCTTGTGAGCTGTCCACACTTTTTTCAGCTCTCAAAACATTTAAGTTTTAGCGATGAATTCCAGCGACATCGGTTTGAAAGAATTTTGCAGTAATTTGCATAAACGTGGGAACTTCGAAATCAAACATGTCTAATTTTTTTTTTTTGCAGATAGAGTCAATCCAGAAAACCAGCAAGTGCAGTTTTCGCCAGCTACTTCGGCACACTTGACAACCTGCAGGGGCGAAGATTACGATGTGGTGAGATCATTTTTGATATTTTACTTTTGATTGCATTAGTCATTTTAAAGTCTGCACGCTTAATTTATTCTTTAATCCTTGACAAACGGGCCGCTTTGGATTTATTAACGATTTGTGTCACTTCAATTATTTTTCCTACGTACTTAGACACTCATGCAGCTCCCCATTATATACTGTATCCTGTGTTACATGAACAATGTAACATTAAGCAATATAAATAATTTCGACAAACTTTCCTGGTTGGCCCTTCTCGATTTTCAAATTGAAGGATAAAAATATCAAATTTATATTATTGATTAATTTGGTCTTGAATAATATTTTAAAATATTAATTAATTATTGTCTGCAGGAAGTGATAGGCTACCGGAGAAATGGGTTCAAAACTTTTATTTCTTGGCTCATCATCGTCTTGACTCTGGGCATATTGCGACTTGTGTTTCACTGGTGCCCAAACTGGATGTTGGTCTGTACGCATTCCACATGTCATCTAAGGAAGGCTCACGTCGTCCTGATAATCGTAAGTTTAACCATCCAACCTTGAAGAAATACATAACTATTTTGCAACACCCTGCGGCCTCCTTGGTTTTATCTCCACAGCGTAAATTATTCAATAAGAGAAAGTGTCATTTTTTATTTCAAATCACGCCCGTGTGAATTTTATCTCCTGCGTTTATTATTTTAGAGACACTAAATCGGTAGATCGCAAAGCCTTGCATGCATTTAATTTGGCGCTTCCGGACTTAGCGGAGCGAAAAAAAAATGTAAATTTCAAAACGCGCCCTTGGAAATTTCCCTTGCCGAAACAAAGGTCGGCGTATCACTTGAATTTCCATTCGAATCTATTTTTGCACCGTATCCCTCATTAGGCACCTTTTCCGTTTTCAGGAAACGTACCAGAAAAAGAAAAAGTCCTTTTACGTGAAGAGAATAGAAGTTCTGTCTTCTAGAGATGTTGTTCCGCTCAGCGACAGTAGATACCAAAACGCAGAGAGAGCAGAAAAACTGCCCATTTACTATGACGATGGGTGTTTTAAAGGTTAATTTTTAATTTTAATTCTCATAAATTGTTAACATTATTCACATTTTATTGTCTAGAATTTGAATCAGTTCGACTATTGAATTTTAAGCGTGAACGTTTCATTTGGGACGACGAAAGCCAGCTTTTCTTGGCAATTTGCGGACTTGATATAACTGATGAGATGGAAAATGTCAAAAACAATCCGCAAGGTCTGTCCAGCAATCACCAACGGCTGCGGTAATAAATGTACTTTAGCATCACCTTTAGTTGCTTATTTGAAATTTCAGCTCAATCGTCTACGGCATCAATGAGATCAACGTTCCACTGCAGAGCATTGGAACGCTTATTTTGCTGGAAATCCTCAACCCCATATACTTTTTCCAAGTCTTCTCCTTGACTGTCTGGTTCTTCGAGAGCTACTATTATTACACAATCGCCATCATCATCATGTCCATTTACGGCATCTCGTCCAACGTGATACAAACATACAGAGTGAGCTTTGGATGAATTCGCTCCGCAAGTTTTTTTACAGACTAGTTTTTTGTTTGACAGAATCAAAGAAATTTGCACAGTACTGTGCATTCAGTGGACCGAGCAGAAGTTATGAGGCCTGATGCAAAGACGGAGCACATTCCGACCACACAACTCGTCCCTGGAGATGTGTTAGTTATTCCTTCGCACGGCTGTGTTATGCAGTGTGATGCTGTTTTGCTCAGAGGCACGTGCATCGTCAACGAAAGTATGCTGACTGGTGAGAATTTTCAATAACAATATCTTGTTTTGTTTATTTATTTCAATCGATTTGCACAAACAGGCGAGAGTGTGCCGGTCACAAAGACTTCCCTGGTCAACACGTACAAAGATTTGGACAAAAATGAAAAGGCCCATCACACGTTGTTCTGCGGCACGCAAGTGATTCAAACAAGATACTACGGAGGTGAAATGGTGCTGGCCGTGGTGACCAACACAAGCTTTATGACTGCCAAGGGGGAACTGGTGCGATCAATTTTATACCCACCGCCTGTTGATTTCAAGTTCGACAGTGATCTCTTCAAATTTATTGGCTTCCTTGCATTTGTAGCCAGTTTTGGACTCGTTTACACAATTATTCTCAAAGTACGTGTTTATAATCCTTGCCATTTTGCGCAACACCTAATCAAAAATTTATATCAGGCTTTAAAAGGTGCCTCCGTGACTGATATTATTATCAAGGCTCTTGACATCGTGACTATAACTGTCCCGCCTGCGTTGCCAGCAGCCATGACTGTTGCGCGATTAAATGCCCAAACAAGGCTGCAGAAGGACAAAATATTTTGCATAAACTCCCAGGAAATAAATGTGGCTGGCACCATCAATTGTGTTTGCTTCGACAAGGTATTATTAAAAAATTTAATCAATTTCAAAACTATTTATTAACAATGATGAATTTTCTAGACTGGCACTCTGACCGAAGATGGACTTGATATGTGGGGAGTTTTACCCGTAGAAGGAGGGCAATTTTCTGATCCTTGCCACAATGTCGAGGAGCTGAAACAGAGTTCAACTCTGCCTCTGGCCATGGCTGCTTGCCAATCGCTAACGTTGATTAACAATGAAATTATGGGAGACCCATTGGATTTAAAAGTAAAGCTCTTAAAATTTAAACAAATTTATTTTAAATTCATTATTATTATTATAGATGTTTGAGTTCAGCAAGTGGCAGTTTGAAGAGCCAGAAATTGATGACGCCTCCAAATACGACAATATTGTTCCAACTGTAGTAAAATCACCATCTGAGGATGTAGTAAGTTGAAATTTGTCCTCGTATTTCTCTAATTTAAACAATCATTTTAATTTTTCAATAGGACCAAAAAGAAGTTGGCATTTTACAGGTATTTCAGTTTTCGTCTAGTCTGCAGCGCATGTCTGTGATAACTCGTATTTTGGGCCACAAAGAATTTATCGTAGTGTGTAAGGGTTCGCCCGAGAAAATTTCCTCCTTATCCATTCCAGAGACAGGTAATTTAAATTTGCATAGTTGTATTTAAAAGTAAACCAATTATTTTTCAGTTCCTTCCAACTTCCACGCACATTTGAAAAACTACTCAAAAGAGGGCTATCGAATAATTGCTATCGGATGGAAGATTTTAACTGATATCAGCTACACGGCCGTTCAGCGCCTTCCCAGAGAGGAGGTGGAGAAGAATCTAATTTTTGGGGGCCTGATCGTCATGGAAAATAGGCTGAAACCAGAATCAGCTGGAAACATAGCAATACTGCACAGAGCTAATGTTAAAATGGTTATGGTTACAGGTATAATTTGCAAGTTTAGTACGGTTTAATACAGGGACTAATTTTTAATTTTCCTTGCAGGCGACAATATTTTAACAGCGGTTAGTGTTGCAAGGGAGTGTGGACTGATAGCAGAGGGTGAGCACGTAATAGATGTGCAAGCCACTGAAGCAACGGTTGATCATCCAGCTAAGATTTATTTCTCATCTCAAGATGAGCAGGTAAACACTCGTGTTAATATTGGCATTTGAGACTGAGAATTTGAGAGTAATTTCAAAGTAAAATATAGCAAATTCAAGCTTTTTCATATACATGGCTTCGAAAATTTTTAAAATCTCCAATAATAATGGTAAATATGAACGCTTGGTTTTAGTGATTTAAATTATGTCTGGTAATGAAACATTTGAATAATTTGTTAGTTGAATGTAAAATTTACTTAAAAAATTTTGATTGGCAGAAATCGATCGTCGCAATTGGAGAAACGCGACTGCGGCCTTACGTGTTTGCCATGAATGGCGCAACTTGGAGTATTATTCGGGAGTCATTTCCAGAACTGATTCCTAGACTGATTGTGAGAGGGACAGTGTTTGCCAGGATGAGCCCTGAGCAGAAGCAGCAGCTGGTGGGCCATTTGCAGGAACTCGGCTATTTTGTCGGTGAGTTTAATTTTCTCCTAAAAGAGGGTCATTTTTAAATAAAAATTTATATTTATAGCGATGTGCGGAGACGGAGCAAACGACTGTGGGGCTCTAAAAGCAGCTAACGTCGGAATCTCCCTTTCGGACGCCGAAGCGTCTGTGGCGGCTTCTTTCACTTACAAAGAAGCAAATATTGCATGTGTTCCGATGGTCATCAAGGAGGGCAGAGGCGCCATCGTGACCTCTTTCGGCGTGTTCAAGTTCATGGCAGCCTACAGTCTGACCCAGTTTGTTTCAGTGATGATTCTCTACACGATCGATAGCAACCTCACCGATTTCCAATTTCTTTATATCGACATCTTCCTTTCACTTGCGTTTGTTGGCTTTTTTGGCAACACCATGGCCTACAAAGGGCCCATCGCCCCGGAACCACCAATCACCAATTTGATATCAGCAATACCAATGTTGTCCCTCGTCTTCCAACTAGGGCTCAACATTCTCCTGCAAATTATTATTTTCCTATTTATCCAGCAGCAGCCGTGGTTCAAGCCTCATGCGCCTAACAACTCCAGCGATTACGGCTGCTTTGAAAACTACGCTGTTTTTACTGCCTCACTTTACCAGTACATCCAGATGAGCATTGTGTATTCCAAAGGGCCACCGTACCGAGAGCGCATCTGGACAAACTACTGGCTCACCTCCTCCATTCTGCTGTTGACCGCTGTGTGCATCTACATCACTGTGTGGCCTGCAGATTGGATGGTCAAACTACTCGAGCTTGTGATGCCGCCCGAATTAAACTTCCGCCTTTACGTAATCGCACTCGGCGCCTTTGGCTTTTTGCTCAGCGTCATCGTTGAAGAGCTGTTTATTGAAACGATGCTGACGAGAAAGCTGCGGTCTGCCAAGAGAATCAATGGAGACACCATCTACCATTCCGTCAAGAAGGAGATGGATGAAGACAAAAAATGGCCTACTTTGTCAGCTAAAGTTGAGTTGGTGGAGCCACACACTGTGGATGCCGACACTAAGCCTCACATTCAAATGACGGTGCTGAGAGAAACGAACAATTAACAATCAGTCGATTGAGTCAGACCTAAACTTATTGAATTTATTTTTATGGTTGATAATATTACTTAAATGTGCATTTATAAGCAAGAAACACACGGTTTTAAAGCTGCCAAAGTTGAGAAGCACACACTACTTGTAATTGTGCCTATTATCTATAGAAATCCCTCATACAGAAGTTATTGTTATTCTTGTAAATTAAGCTAATGATGTACTAAAATTATATATTGTACCATTTTTAAGACATATTTTTTATTAACCATCAAATTAGATTGACAAGGAGGAACATTTCAATTTTAATTTGCATCCTCGTCATCAGAATCCTGTTTTTCACCAAGGCTTGTTGCGCCCTCACAATTTTCAATTTCTTCGTAGAAATTGCCAGACAAAATATTTTCCCAGATCTCGCTCCTCCTTTCCAGTGGAAAATGCAGCTCTTCTGGCAGATTTTCGAAGCCAGCTTCGTCTGTGGGAACGTCTCCTGCAGAGGTCAGTTCTTTCTTCTCAGCCTTTTCTCTCTCAAGCTCCCTAATGTATTCTATGATGCAGACTGGTTTTTCTCCACTGGCCTCACTTTCAATCTTTGTTCCATTTCCCTCCTCTTCATCCAAGTCTAGTTTGTCAAAGTCTGACTGAACATTTTTTGTGACTTCCTCCAATTCGGGAACTTCGGAATCCTCAAAATTTTCACTTTCCATTTCCTCCACTAATCGACGAGCGTGGCTGTTCAAAATCGTCGGCCTCGATTTGTGCCAGGGCATTTTGATCAAGCATCTCTCCTCCTAAAATTTTATGCCTAAATTATCAATTATTTTTATGGATTTAAAAACCTCATCATTTTGATCTGCTTCTTGAGATTCGTCATCAACATCTGTGAGAAAACTTGTCTCTTGGTAAAGCTCTGGGTATCGCTCCTTCATTCTTTCATAAGATTCTGAAAAGAATAAGAATTAATTTCAATTTATGAATAAAAAAAAAGTTTTATTAAAAAAATATTACTCAAGTGCAACTCCCTGATCTCCTGCTCCCTCTGCAGCGTCCATTCCATTTGCAGAAGTTCTGCTGCATCACTTCCTCCCTCTTTCCTTTGGTTTAAAATATTTAATTATAATCATTTAATAATAATCATTTTATATTTTATTAGAAAAAAATTGTCTTACCAAGCCTCAGCCAATTTCCTTTCTTCTTTTTTAACAGGTCTCTCGTCCAAGTAGCACAACTGAGGCTATTTTATCCAAAATTAATTATTTTGCAATAATTGATAAAATTGGATAAAATCTTACAAAAGCCACGATCACTGTTTTCCTGTAGTTGGTAATCACTCCTGGCAAAGGGTTACCTTCAAGGAACAAAGCTCGCAAGTTGTTTAACTTGGAAAGCACCTGTTTTAATTTTATAATATGATATTTAATTTAAAATGAGAATATTTTAAAATATAACCTCAACGGTTTCAGGATCAGCCAGTTTGTTGTGTGAGAGTCGAAGCAAGGTCAGTGACATGCACTCACTCAAATGAGCAATGTCGTCAATGTGAGTGAGGCTATTGTAGCTGAGGTCCAAACTGGTCAAGCTTTTAAGACAGCCTTAAAATTTAAAATATCAAACATTTTATAATTTAAATTTTATTTTAATTTTTAATTATTACTGAGATTCTCTGCAACTTTGATGTTGTTCTTGCTGAGGTCAATTTTGTCCAGCTGCTGAAGGCCTTCCAGATTTTCAATTTTGTCGATGCAGTTGCTATTCAAAAACAGGAGCCTCAGGTGCTGGAGGCAATCTAAGTTTTCTATTTTTATGATGTAGTTGTTCTGCAGGTACAGGCACTTCAAATTGACGTAGTCGTCAAGATTTTCTATTTTTCGAATCCCTGAAATATTAAAAAGCAATTAATAAAACAAATAAAGTTGGTTTCATAATTCAAAACCTTGGTAATGAAGATAAAGAACATTGTTTAAATGAGGCACAGCGTACATCTCATCCCCAGCGGCGCACAGTTTGTAGAGGTACTCTTTGGAAATCCTTCCACTAGAAAAAAAAACAAAATAATTTTCAATTCAAAATCAGCACAAATGAGAAAAATCTTGTAAATCTTTAAATCTTACTCAGGAGCGCACAATGGACTTTTTACGATTTTACTCATCTTCTCAAGTTAAAAGGTAAAAAAGTTCGCTTCAGACAAATTATTCTGCAGTCTAATGGCACGACTTGATCGTTTTAAATTTCCAACAATCGTCTTCCTTATCCTTGTCGATTGAGCCAAATCAACAAAATTCGCTGTAGTCCGTTTCCATGGTTTCCACATCGCAAGGCCCTTTTTGGCGCCTTTTCCAACAAAACTGGATATCGGCAGAATACTAGCCAATCAGAGAGAGAGCGAAATCAAGCCGCATGATGGCAGCACTGTCTTGTCTTATTAGTAAACAGCAATAAGACATAAGGGGAAACTCGACCGGTTATCGCGTTAAACTAGCTCTCCGCGGGTATGTACCCGCGCGTGTTAAAAGATAGGGAAGCGGTTTCGGTGGTTTCGCGCGGTGTTTCAGAGCGGTGATGGAATCGCAGCTGTTGAGCACTGCGTACCGTACTATACCGTAAACAAAATGCCTTGCCTTGGTTCTGTATATTTCTGAATTTCATGGATATTTTTTGGCCCTTCAGCGCTGTAGTTGCTAGTAACACCTTTAACGCAGGTCTTTGTTCATTTATTTTACATCTATTTTACTAATGCCTTAATCATTTTAATTCCTAGGATATTTTAACGTCAAGAAATATTAATACTTAAAAAATTGTACGATGTTAATTCATTTTCCACCTGTAGTTGTATTTCAAATCATGGAGCAAAAATTTTTTTTAGATTTAGTTGTTCCTTTAAATTAAAGTGATCAAGTATTTGAAGGAAGAGTCACATTTAAGTCAGAAAGTGAGACTGAAATTGAGGTATACAAGAGAATTAAGCAGGGTTTGCCAAATTCTGACGAAAAGGAGAATAATTATAAAGCACCAAAACAGCGAAGAAAAAGGAGCGCTTCTAAAAGTGGGTTTCTTGAAGTGAAAATAATAGTAATATTTAATAATTTGATTTTGTTCTAGAGCTCTTCAACAGTGGTGTAGCTGATGGCCTTTTCATCCCTTCGAACACAAGACTGTCCTCATTCCTGGTTAGATCTCGGCCCTTTCTTTACCAGCTCATCCTAAAGTCCAAAAATCTCAAGTAAATGAAAAAAAATTACCAGAAGAGGGAGGTGACTAAATCAGAGGCCGAGAATGTCGTCATGCAGTAACAAATCTCAAATCCATTTTGGACCCTGTGCAGTACGAATTCATAATGACGGTTGTACAAAACACCCAGCAAAGACGCCCAAGAGGAAGAACATACTCTCGAATCCCCAATCCACATTTTGCCTCTAATCAGCAGGCTGCGAAGCGAAGAGACTAGGACTCCGATTCCAGTTACCATCTCTAGTCCAAACCATCACGTCACAGTTCATCATCTGCACCGTCCATCAGCTATTCGTCTTCGAATCCCAGTCATTCCTACTTTGCAGAGTCACACGCCAGTTCTTCAGCAACACCACCCACCTCTAGTTGGACGCTCCAGTGATCTCAATGATTTAAATCCAAATGTGATACGACTCATACGTCAAAATGTCCCAATTCTCCAGGCTGTCTCTGATAATAAAATTTATTGTATTTTGGAAATTAAAACTACACAATACAAAAAATCTAGATCTTGATAAAATATTTGATAATATTTTCATAAATAATAATGCTAAGTTAAATATCTCCCTTTTATTTAAGCGCGCCACTTAAATAAAAATTTGTACGTTAATAGTTCTAATTTTAAGGGTTTTTTTAACTGAAGATATATTCTGCAAAATTAATTGATTAATTTAAAGAAAAGCATGCAAAGTTATTCTAGTTATTTATAATATCCATGCGAGACAATTTGCAACAATTCATTTTCACCGTCGTTTCCAAATTTTAACACGGAATCAAAAAATTGCGGAAAAAGCAAGCACTCATAAAGCCTGTGCATTAGAGTAGTGAGCAAATTTTGCCGACAGGTGGCACGCCGGAGAGTCAGTCGAAAGGATAAGAAAACCGATTATACCGCGAGCACAATTTGTGGCTGAAGAGTGGGATAGGAGTTTCTCCTTATGTCTTATTGGTAAACAGTAACAGTAAACATTGGTCGACAAAAAAATTTTGTGATCTCGTTAAAAAGTTTACATTTACGTTGATCTCTTTCGCGAATTCTGCAAATCAATTGAACGAGAATTTGCAATGGCCGAAGGCAAATCCAAAGATCCCAATGTGCAGGAATTCAAGCTCGAACCGGACACAGAGTTGAGGTTCGAAGTGGAGAATCCGGAAAGCAAGAACGACAAAGTCACTTTAGAGGTTTGATTTTGATTATTGTATATAATTTATTAAAAGTAATAATTTTTATAAATTAATTCAATGTATTTTAGCTGAAATCTGGAAACGCTGAGATTTTTGGTACGGAGATTGTAAAGGAGAAGCAATATTCATTCACAACGGGAGCAAAGGTGGCAGTTTACACTTGGCACGGCTGCACTTTGGAACTGAAAGGCAAACCCGACGTCGCCTACATCGCCAAGGAAACACCTATGGTTTGTTATTCTCTATTGAAAGATTGGAATTTTCTAAAAATTATTGATAGGTTATGTACTTGAATGTCCATGCCGCTCTGGAAGAGTTGAGACGAAAGTCCGAGGTTGACGGAAAGCGAGGACCCATCACTTTGGTCGTTGGGCCAACAGACGTTGGGAAGTCAACCCTCTGCAGAATGCTGCTCAACTACGCAGTCAGGCTAAGCAGGAGGCCAATTTTTGTTGACCTGGATGTGGGTCAAGGACAGATATCTGTTCCCGGCACAGTTGGTAAATAATTTTGCGATGAAATGTAAAGAGAAACTGATTGTTTTCTATAATTACAGGCGCTCTTCTAGTGGAGAGGCCCTCGGGGATTGATGATGGGTTTTCTCAGCAAGCTCCTTTGATCTACCACTACGGACACAAAAGTCCCGGAGTGAATCCCGCTCTCTACAATACCATAGTATCGAAGCTGGCTGAAGTTACGATGGAAAGAATGAGCGCCAATAAAAAAGGTTTGTATGACGCAACTTAAAGCCAAAGCTCAGATCCGTCAAATGGTTTGTTCTTTTCACCTGATTTTTTTTTTTTGTAAAAAAATCCACAACTTCTTGCCAACAGACCTGTGCTTTAGCTTGTCAGGTGAATTTAATACATTAAATATTGATCTCACCCTTTCAATTTGCAGCAAACCATTCCGGAGTGATAATAAACACATGCGGATGGGTCAAAGGGGAAGGCTACAAGCAATTGGTCCACATTGCGCAGGCATTCGAGGTTGATGTAATTTTAGTCCTGGATCAGGAGCGGCTGTACAATGAATTGGTCCGAGACATGCCCAACTTCGTCAAGACTGTTTTCCTCCCAAAAAGTGGAGGCGTAAGTTTTGTCGAATTGTTATTTTGGGTAAAGAGTAAAATTTATTTTTGGCAGGTTGTTGAGAGAAGTACAAAAGTCCGAGCTGAATCGAGAGACGCGAGGGTTCGTGAGTACTTCTACGGGTCCAAAGCATCATTGTATCCTCACTCGTTTGACGTGCGATTCTCCGACATCAAGATTTATAAAATCGGAGCGCCGTCTCTGCCAGATTCGTGCATGCCGCTCGGAATGAAGGCCGAGGACAACATGACAAAACTAGTTCAAGTCACTCCAGGTTTGCATTTTGCAAAAATGTGTTAAAAATGAAAATAAAATAAATTAATTAGGAGTGTCGATTTTGAACCACCTCTTGGCTGTCAGTTTTGCTACAGAAATGGAAGAAGACGTCATCAGAACAAATGTTGCAGGCTTCATTTGTGTGTATGTATCAAAATGAAATTCACTTTTGGCTCAGTATTTTGACAAATTTTATTTTATTCTAGAACGGAAGTTGATCCGGAGAGACAGACTATGACTGTGTTGTCGCCGCAACCTCGACCGCTGCCACAGACACTGCTGCTGCTCTCGGACGTCCAGTTCATGGACAGCCACTGAAAGTAGACGGTTTGGAAGAGTGCGGTGCAAAAGTACTTTGCATCACACGCCTCCAAACCGGTGCTGAAAAACCACTTCAAATTTGGTTTTATCAAAAATCATGTACGTTAGTTGACAAAATGCAAACGGAAATAAAACACAAGAACTTGTGTAACCATACAATAAAATTCTTTATATAATTCCTCATTTATTACATAATACTCTCTCTTTTCATGTACACAACAAGTGTTTGGAGCATTTTATTATTTACAATGATCAGTAAAATAGCCAGATTTAGTGCCATGCAATGAGCGCTGAAAAGTAACAAGCTTTCATCTTTGTAACACAACCAATATATTATGCATCTCTGGTAGAATTTGAAATAGTTCAAATCAAAATAATTAAGTGAGAGCGAAACTGAAGCAACAATATGATCTTTTATTCTCCAACGTGCAAAGAGTCTAAACGAAAACACAGCTCTTGCGTTTGCAGCTGCCTACAGTTCTGTCTAGTGAATTTTTTTTAGTTACTTTTGATAATCTAATTCTAATCTCTAGAAATTAATATTTTAAGCCTTTTGTAATAAGAAAGAGAAGTGTGATAATCGTAACCAGTGAGTCATCAGCTCTGGACATGAATTTTGTGGCAACACGCTACAGCTTTAACAGATAAGACACCAATTTAACTGGGCTGCAGTTGAAGAAAATCAAAAATTTTATCCACTTTCAAAACGTTCATTTCCACAGGTTCCTTTTCACTTCCTGTGCCCTCCCCGAATTTCCAATTTTTTCCAAGTGTTAGAGTTCCGAAGTTTTAAATCAGTTGAAACAAATTCAATATACAGCCCACCGGGATCGACTAATTTTGAGTTCAAAATTTTTTTAATTTTTTACAGTCTTACATAGATTTATGAATGGATTAAAATTTTATACCACATTGTAAGAAGAGCTGACGATGGATTGCATTATTGGCAATTGTGTGTGCGTGAAAAAAGGAAACAAAAGTGTTTGTTTTGTCCTCTATTTTTCGACCTGGTACAAAATGCCCTTTATGGAAAAGTCTGAATATTATACACTTTTATTTTTTTAATCAATCGGGCGTCATGAAATGGTGGCGGATTTTTGAAATCCAAAAACGACACTGTCTGTGTGCTGCTGCTAATTTTCGTCCTTGCTCTCTCGTACCACTAAACCAACAAAATGTTTGTTTGTCAGTCACAAAGCGTAAATCTGCTTTAATTCTTCACGTATTTTTGCGATTTGCTTGCGGCCTCTTTCTTTTTTTGGAAAAAACTTATACAATTTTCATCTGGTTATTGGGCTGGATGAGTTGATTCGTCTCTTCAAATTGATAGGCCGACTCTCCTCGTTAAAATGCTCCTTGACTCTCTCTCTCAGTTTAAGGCAGATGCAATAATGGGAGTTGTTTCAATTAAACTTCTCAAATCAACAATTCTCGTTCACCGCGGTCGCATTCTTACTCATGTCCTATTAATCCACGCGCTTCTTTTTTAAATCGTAATATAATTTTTAATTTATTTAATGTATTAAAAATCTAGTTGTTTGAGGAAAGATCACATTTTGCGTCATAGTTTTACAATGTATATAATTAGTAGTAATTAATAGTTAATTGTATCCCGTGTGGCGCGCGCACTATTTACAAATTGTCACTTTTTGCTCTTTTGTTTTAGTCGGTTTTTACGCAGTTTTTCGTTTTTATTTTTATTAAGTAGTAAATTATTAATGTAGAAACAGGTAACTCGCTCTTGGCGCCGGCGGCTCTCTCGTCGAGGGTTTCGCACACGTTTTTTGTTCTTCTTTTTGGGCGAAAAAATTATTGCGGATTTCGAGTTGGTTTCGTTGGCTGCGCGCGTCCATACCCCGTCTCGGCCCGGCCGCCGGCCGCTGATTTTAGATTCGCCATCAGTGTCAGGCCGTCGGTAAAGTGTAGTGAGAGATGATCTTTGATCACATTTAATTAGTTAGAAAAAATGACTCTGCTCATTATTTAACTCTTGTATTATCATTATAATCATCTTTAACAGCATATTTCCCAAAGCATTTAATTGATCCCCGTTGATTTAGTGTGTCCGCGACTTCATTTATTTAATCATTGTGTCTTATCTTTACAACTGCTCGCACTTCTTTCTGCAAAAACGACACCAAAATGCAAAACAAGTTTGTGCTTGGTTAAGTTTGATGCTTTTGATTAGTGGGAGGCGAAATGGGCTGACAGGTCCAAGGAAAATGTTGAGGAAAATATTTTTTGAATTATTTTTAAAGGGAGGAAATGATTTAAAATTTCAACTTATATTCTTTGGCTTGTTTCGAGCTTAAAAATTAATATTCTTGAAAATGTAATGGTTGGGTCCGAATATCAGCAAAAAGATTCTCGATTTCTCAAGAAAGGATTCTCGCACAAGGATTCTCAATGAACGTTTCTGCCTTTGAAATTCCACTAAAGAATCGTTCCTTGAGAATCCTCGCGCGAGAATCTTTTCTCTGTTATTTGGACCCACCCAATGTGAATGAAGAAAATTATGTCCGTCAATTAAATTAATTTGGACCAATCAGCCCCTCACTCTCCAGATTATTACAAACTACGCTTTTTTGATCAAAATCCAAAATCCGCTGAATATATTTATAAACTAACAAATTCATCTGCACATTTCAATTGCTACGTGTGTGACATAATATGTTGGCAAACCCAGTGTGAAATCTGGAAATATCGATCACCGCGTCGGAGATCAATGTATTTTTCATACCGGAACAAATCTTGAACGAACAAGAATTACTATTCTTTGAGCTGTGTGTTTGTTTGTTGTTTGGTTTTCGGAGAGTGCTTGTAAAAGTTTGCTTAGATGAAGGACTCGCGGTTGCGCTCGTTGTCTTCGGCGCTCGACTCGGCACTCGAGCCGCCGCAAATTTGCATTTCGATCTCGGCCAGCCGGTGCTCCACTTCCCACTGCTGCTGGCTCAGTTTGACGCTCATGGTCGCGTTCTCCGTCTCCAGCACCATCAGCCGCTCGCGCAAACGCTTGATCTCCTCTTTCAGCAGCGCGTCCGAAACGATGCTCGACGCGGCGCCTCCGCTCGCCAGGCCCACCAGGCCCGCCTCCGCGTCGTCGTACACCGACAGACTCGCCAGACCCGACTCCAAATCAGGCTGCTTCCCTGCAATTCGAAAAAAATTATTAGAAATGTTACTGAAGGAATTTATTTAATCACTTATTTCAAAATAAATATTCATTTGTAAAAATTTAAATGCATTATAATTTTTTGAGCTTTTTTTACTTTTTAATTTATTTCAATTAATTTTTTCAGCAGAAAATGAAATTCGAATCGTCTTTTTATTATTTTAAATTTAATTAACCTTATGTTTCTGTTGATATTTTTGAAGCTATGCTTATTTTAAAATTATCTTGGATTAATTAAATTTGAAAATTCAGAGCTGATTTGCAGCTTACAAGGTATGCTCCCGAGATGACACACCCCGATTTCAATGAAAATTGGTGCACAACTTCTACTACCCATTGGTACCCCAGAACGGTCATTAATTTTTGCCCAATTTTCCTTGTTTAATTTTTGCCATTTAAACTCCATGTAATTTGAACTACATTGGAGAAATCAGATGTAGGCAACTTATATACACAGAGGACGCTTTTGTTGCCTACATCTGATCGTTTTTAACATGCGTTTTAATGGAAACTACCCTCCCTTGTGAAATTGGGCAACTTTTGATAGCCATTCCAGAACACCCAAGGGTAGTGCAAGTTGCATACCAACTTTCAACAAAATCGGCGTGTGTCATCTCGGGATCATACCTTGTTAGGCTAACGAAGTAAATCTTTCTTTTCATTTTTTTATTGCAATCATTTCACTGCTGATTGGCGTGCTTCCAGCTCTTGGACAAGTTGAGTAATTTGCCATTTTTTCTCTCTCCTCTTTGCTCATTTAATAATAAATGTTTTAATTAACTCGGCACGGCGCCATCTGCGACTCGCCGGGAATCGCATTAATTATTAGTCGGCTCTTGCTCTTCACATGCTAACTCGCAATTTATCCGCTCTCATTTTTGCGCTCTTGCGTCAGCGCGTGGAAACAAGATTGGTATCGCAATAATTAAATATTGACACGACACGCTCGCCTGCTTGTTAGGCAACCTGTGCATCACATCCCGCTTTGTGTGATCGTTTTGCTTGCATACTAGATTTGCAGCACTTGATGCAACGAGAGCAGCGTCAATTGACTCCTCAATGACGCGTCAAGTAGTGCTCGTTTGATGATTTTTGCTTGTTTCACAGGCTCGATTGCAATAATTATTTATGTTAGCTGATCTATCTACTTTTGCAAATGTTTGCTGAGAATTTTATTGCTGAGCCATAAAGCCCATTTCACATCACCAGAGTTTATAAATTTATAATTTTTTTTTTTTTTTTTTTAATTTTGGTAGAATTTCACGATTGTAATTTAATTTGTAGAGAGTTGAATTTAAAGTCCGCATTTCCCCCGATGGATTATCGTTGGCTTACTTTTTTGGAAAGTATAAATTAATTAAAAAACTGATTGAATGAAAAGATGATTTTAAATTATTTTGATATTTTTACTTCTGCAATGCCATAGAATAAATAATTTTGATAAGTTACAATTTTTACAATCGGCTTTTGGTCTCCTGTACACTTTTTTTTTTATATAAAAACTGCATGAAATAGCAATAAAAATCTTTGTGCCAAAGAAATTTCAAACTGAATTCAGTATAGAAGGGCCCATGATGAGCCCACAATCAGGCTTAGGATCATTGGACGGAGGACCCTTGCAATGAAGTCTCTTGTTTCGTCACGTTGTTTTTTATTTCGACAATTTAGTTGCAATAGTATGCAAATTGATTTTAGATTTTTTTATTTAATCTTTCCACCTAATGAAGCAAAATTTGAAAATAATTTGCTACGATTTCTTAATATAGAAAAAGTAGAAAAAAATACTAGTATTTCCGTACTTTTATGAGAATTAACAATTTGACTTTAGAGTTATTATCCCATTATATAATCGCATTAACTTTTCATCTTTGACAATTTACAACCACAATCAATTGCAAAAATAAAATAAAATATTACACCTATATTAATTTTTACTCATTTTTACTTTTAAGAATAGTTCATTAATTCAGCATATGGCCGCAGACAAAAATTTATTTTGAAAATTAATACAGAATTTTATTAATTTAAATATTAATCATTTGAAAAAAATTTAAAAATATAAGTAAATAAATTTTGTTTAAATAATTTTTTTTTACAATTTTAACAAAAACTCGGTTAAAATTTAAAGCAACAATCAAAAATTTATTTAGTGTGAATTAACGGCAAAAAAAACAATAATTACATTTTGATTGTTGGTTTGAATTATTCCCAACTGACGAGCGAGACTAACGGTCATTTGCGAACTGACACTCGAGCGAACCAGAAGCAAGAATGCCTGCTCACCCTCGCCGCACCCGTCCCAAAACTGGCCTCAACATCTTCGTGAGCGAAAATTATCGCCGCATCAACGCCCAGATGCCTGCTGACTCGACTCCGCAGCGCGTTTTCCAGGAGATCGCCGTGCGCTGGAAGGCCCTGCCCGAGGAAGAAAGGTTGGCCTTCAAGAGAAGGGCCAGGGACGAGGCCCTGAGGAATTAGCGCCGCTGGAAGACGAGGAAGTCTTGTTTCGTGAACGTTGTTTTATTTTGATAATTTATTAAAATGTTGCATACACATTATTTGGCTGAAGCTTTCGTTTTTTTCCAGATTTAATGACGCAAAATTGTAAAGAAACGTTCACTTGATTTAAAATATGAAAAATAGATTATTTTTTATAATTATCCTCTCTGAAACCGAACTTGTGAAAAATTCCCAAAAATTTCAACAGCTTCAAATGGGTGCACGAATTTTTGTTAAATTCATTTTTAATGTCTTCAAATAAGAGCAAAATTATGATCTTTTAATTTTAATAGCAATTCTTTGAGTTCATCATTAATATCAAATGGAAAAAAACAATTTTTTCTTTATTTTTACAATTCTTTCAAGAACTGTTAAAATATAAATTTTGACAAATTTCAAACCAACAATTGGAAATTCACTCGTAACGGCTGAAAACAAGAATTTTGAAGTTTGATTGTTGGTTTTAATTCCCAACTGACAAGCGAAACCAACGGTCATTTGGAACTTGAGCCAAGCAGAAGCAAAAGTGCTTCCTCGCCTTCGCCGCACCCGTCCCAAAAATGGCCTCAAACTCTTTGAGAACAATCGTCGCATCAACGCCCAGAAGTCTGCTGCGTTTTCCAGGACATCGCCCAGCGCTGCTGGAAAGCCTGACCGAAAAAGAAAGGTTCGCCCTCAAGAGAAGGGACCAGGCCCTGAGGAATTAGCGCCGACGCAAGACGCTTCCAGTGAAGTCTTTGGTTTTTTTGATGATTTATTAAATGTTCCATACGATTTTTTTCAATGCAAATCTCGATTTCATCCTGATTTGATGACAATCTATATATTTGAAAGTTGTAAAGAATCTTGCTTTAAAATTAGAAAAATTTAAATTGATAATTAATTATCCTCTCCAAAACTAAGGTTGTGAAAAAATTCTGAAAAATTTTGCAATTTGCACGAATTTTGGTTGATTCATTTTTAATTTTTTTAAATGTAAGCGAAATTATGATTTTTTTCAAACTTTTTATAACAGATCTTTGAATTTATCATAAAAATACATAATATTAAAGAATTTTATTCACGAATTTTTTCAAATACTTTGCGTGCAACCGTTATATTTATGGCTAATTTCAAACCAACAATCAGAAACTCACTAAAATGACTTAATGGCTGAAAACGAGAATTTTAGTTTCATTGTTGTTTTGAATTTCCAACTGAAAATGATCAAAACGGTCATTTGTGGATTGCCATTTTTTATGAATATTTTAAATAAAATATCTGATAAAAATAAAGAGATTCTAATAAAGAAATTTATTTTCCTTTTCTTCATATTTTCATCAATTTTGTCACATTTACTATTAAATGCATTCATGAACATACAAATTATAAAATTAGCAGAATTCTTTAGATGTTTTATTGTTACTTTTTCACAAAGTAAACTAAGCGCTTATCCACTCTCATCATACTGATCGGAAACACTAATTACTCATGTATGCTTAATTAGATTGAAAGCCAATTAAAATTTTTGATGAGCACTTTTATCTCTCTATGATGGAAATATTCTTGTTTGGAACAAAAAAAAAATAGATAATAGAGGATTGTATATGAAAAATAATATAAGCTAAAAGAATGATTAAAGTACCCTGCGTTTTTGCCACTTATAAATTCAGTGCGAATTTCCAAATTGCAACGTGTTTGTAGAACTCTCAGCAGATTTCGATCTCTCCCTTTGAAATCAGCACACGATTTCCATATTTACCGATGGATTACTCGGCACGCACTCGACACGAAAACGGCCAGACTCCCATTCAGTTGGCCGGTAATCGAAATGATCGATAAAGCACACAAACGCGTCCGGAAAATTCAATCCGACCAACGCGGTTCTCCCGTTCACAGATATACAAGCGCGCGAAATGAATTTCCAACCGACTAATGCCGGCGCGGCTCATTTCGTTTTATTCGGCTTGGCAAATATTGTGCTGTGCTTTTGGAAAAGGCACACTGTGTTTGGGTATGTGCTGATGGTGAATCGGATAAACATTACTGAACGCTCGATTATCTCTTTCATGAAAAATAAAGAAGAAACCGAGCAACATCAGCAATATTTGAATATATAAACCGAGTTTTACTGGAGAGTTTTACTTAAATTTCCAATGGTTAAATTATTTCGAAGGAAGTTTCTCATTATGTGTTTAACAAAAGTTTTTTTAATGATTGATAGTGTTGTTTTCATTAATGAATATCCACATCTTATTTAAAGAACTTGGTAAAATACGGGCAGCTATTAAATTTTCTTTTGCGTTTTGAATTTGGTAAAATCAAATTGTTACTGAATTAATGAAAAATAATTAAATAAAAAAAATTCCAGTCAAGGTGGTAAAAATGTGACAAAATTATGGACAGTACAAAAAGTGAAGAGTAACTTTCGAGGTGGATTTCCTGAAAAATTGAATCCGGGCAAACCTCATTGCAAAGTAAAAATAAAGGACAACCGACCTCAAACGGTGACCTGCGGTCTGCTGGTACTCTAAAAACCTAAGGGTTTGTCGTGTCGAAACGTCGAAACTAAAACTAATTGGGAGGAATTCATAAAAAAATTATAAAATATAAAACAGGAAAAATTAAATTGTAGTAAAAAAATAATTGCAGAAATTAACTAAGCAAATCAGTCAGCTTCATTACAGATATTTTGCCTGAAAAATATTTGGGTTCGTTGCCTTGGGATTTGTGGCAACGTCACAAAGTAATTGATATATTTTTGCACTATTAAAATAATAATGCTAGAACTAAATAATCAATTTTTAATTTATTTATTTTTCTAAGCAAGTGATTAATTAATAAATTGAAGTTGAATTTAAGACTGACTCCTTTTTCATAATTAATTTGGGGAATTTTTGTTTATTAAAATTAAATTCTCCTCATTTTATTTTATATTTGTTATTAATTCCTCCTACTAAGTTTTAATTTTTTTTAGACAAAACCCAAGGTTTATATAAAAAAAAACCAGCAGACCGCATGTTGCCTTTTGGGGGGGTCAGTAATTGTCCTTTATTTTTTCATTTTTTCTCTGCAACGAGGTTTGCTTGGTTTACATTTTTCAGTACAAAAAAATTGCCAACAATAAAATTTTCTGTGTTCAGCGGGTTGTTCACTAGGGAAAAACAGGCAAATTGTGAAATAAAATAATTATATGAATTTTTTTTAAACTACGTTGAAAATGGGGTCCAATTAAAGCTAACAAAGTCAAGCGTTCGGTGAGCGTAACGAGGTCTCTCTCGCTCACTGGCCTTTCCACTGATCAATAGCGCTCTGACAGGCCACCATAAAGTGCTGTTCTCGCACATTTCCACATTAATTCGCCGTTGTACCAGGGCACAAGGGTCGTGTGCTGTGGATTTAGTTGTTGCAAGGACATGGCGGGCCAAATCACGCGTGTACTTTAATTATCAGGCTGTGCCCGAGTGGCCTGACCGCCCTCCCGGTCGGTTGGTCGCGACTGCGGTTTCACTGAAACCGACGCAAAGAGCAAACAATTTGCCTTTGCTTCGGGGAAATCGAGCAAATGCAATTGCTGCGCACATTGCAAAGCTAAACGGAGAAGTTTCAAATATATATTTTCAACTTTGCAAATCCTCAGAGAATTAATTTCAAATTAATGAACATGGACGCAGTTTATAGTCGGCTAATTGTTAATGGTACGTGTGCGGGTGATTCGTTTCTCTCTGGTGCGCCTTTTAAGCACAACTTGTCCTACAATCGGACCGACGCGGCGTAATGACCGAGCTGAATTATTAAATCGGTCGCCAGCTTTGCGCGGAATTATTCATGCCGTCGGTATAAGACCGGATAATTACACTTTGCTTGGCCGAGCTCGGGTTAAAAAGAGATAATCGGCTAATGAATCTCATTGAAAATGGTTCGGTACAGAAAATTGGTAAAATTAAATTTAATAAGGAATCTCGCAGAACGATGAAAGAGTCTTCATTAATGTAATCAATTAAAGAACTCGTTCCGAGGGATGAAAAGATTTATTCAATTCCAGGTGCTTTTCTAGTTTCCGTAAAAGGAGGGCAGAAAAAATAAAGCAACTTGGCATTTTTTCCTCTTTCTCTCTTGGGCGTTGAAAGCGAAGAGCAAAGCAGCCCCGAGCGTTGTTGGAAAAGTTTGCGAAATGCAAATCGGCGAGGCTAATTTTCCATGCAGCCTTTGTCTAGCAGCTCCCGGAAAATTGATAACCTAGTTTCGAGGAAAGGAGTAAGTAAGTCTCTCTTTGCACGACTCTCGCAGTCAAAGACAATGGAAGCGAATCACGAGGCAATCGAGCGAATTTCATTAGCAATTCTAATTGCATCAATGACACAGTTTCACCCAAGCGATGATAGGATATAAACGCAATTGAAACTCGCTGTGACAAAGGAAGCAATTGTAAATAATTTCTAATCAGCAGAAAATTCCTTATACGTTTGTTCTTTCTTTCTTTTTAAAATTAAATTCCATTTTAAAAATCAGACTGTACATAAAAAAGCATTTCGAATCCTCTTTTAATATGTCTGCTTTTGTAAATATTCTGTATTTTTGAGGAAAAACTTCAAGCTAGCAATAAGAAACTCATCAGATCACGTTTTTTTTCGTGAAGATTGTTTCCATATTTTTAATAACTTTCGACAGGAATAAAAGTTATGTAAAATGAGAGTTTCCCTTGTGCTTGCAAGTTTTGGCGTGTCAACTTGTTCTTTTTACGAGCACCCCAAGAAGCGCATTAGTCGTCGCGAGGGCGAGTCGCTCGCCTGTCTCTCTAATAATAACAACGCCAAAGTGCCGCGCGCGCGTTGCGTAATTTGTGGAGCGAGGTCACTCGGGTTCTTTAATGACTGTGCACGAGCCGCGACGAGAGAATGAGACGCGCCTGCTCATCGCTGCACGCGCTCTCCGCCAGGGATCGAACCACTGACCTGCAGCTGATGGCTTCAAACTCGACGGAGCCGTCACGTCGGCGCACCGTCGCTCGTCGTCCGAAGAGTGGCCCGAAGACGACAGTGCTGGCGAGGAAGTCAACGCTTTGTGCGATATGCCACTGCGAGATCTGCAACATTTTCAAAAAAAAAAAAACATATGCCATTAAAAAGAAAGTAATTCAAATTTAAAGCTGGAGAAAAATTGACATTTAAAAAGTTAAATCTCAATCAATATCATTTAATACAATATTTACATTAAATTAAATAGCTAAATGCATAATAAAAACATATAAAATAAATATAAAATGTAGTCTTTTCAAATAATTATTAATTATTTTTAATTAAATGGAAATATATAAATATCAAAGACTAATCAACAATTCCAACATTTTGTAGTAGAATTTCACAATTGAGGGGTGATTTGAATATAAAGTCGGCTTTGCCTTGATGGGTTTTGTGAGTTGTTTATTGTTTAAGAAAAAATAAACTTTCCATTCTGACCAAAATTATTATAAAAATAAAATTTTTTTAAATATTTCCAATGATAAAAAAATGTCAAATTTTTAAAAATTATTTGACGAATAAATTGTAACTGAAAAGAATGTTTGAGAAAAAAATTAATTAAAGATGAAAACACTTATGAAATTAATTTAAGTACTAATTTTTGAAAAAATAAATCACAGCTCATGTATTATGGATACAGCCAGCAGCTGAAATATGCAGAGCAGGATATTGTTTTTTCTTAAACATTAAACAACTCACAAAACATATCGTGGAAAAACCAAATTTAAATTCAAAGCACCAAGTCCATAAATGTGTTGGTTTCTTTATCACTGCGTTTAAAAAAATAATCAATTATTTCTCTTTCCTTACATTTTTTGTTTCATTTAACACAGTTTTAATCATTGTTAATAGTAACCTTTGGAAAAATAGGTGCTTTTTTATAAGCAAATTAGGTGATTTTTTCAACTGAAATAAGGGTCAAATAGGTGATTTTAGGTGGAATTATGAAAACAAAAATAGGCCTTAAAGGAGAGAAAAAAAAATCTCCAAAAAAGTGATTTTTGTTTGAGACTAGTTTGATTATTTAATCAAGTAGGTGAAATACGGCAGAATCGGCGATTTTAGTTGATTCTAATTTCACGTTTCACATGAGAATATTACGTTTTGTCTTTATCACTATATTTTACAGTATTTCCCACAAATAGGTGAAAAAGGTGATCAACTATTTTTTCCCATCCTTAATTAATAGTCTAGCTTATTCTTGTTCATTTCAATTGAAATTGCAGCTCAATAGATTGAGTTTCCAAGTTATAAATGGACTTTTTTAAAGATTCAAGTCATTAAAAGTTAAGAAGCGTTGCCAAGCTGGAGGTTATTTACAGCTCAAGTAGTTCGGTTGATGGAGAAGTTCGTGTCAATATCGCGCAACGACGCTCGCGGAGCCAACTTCTTGCAAATTATTGGATTAAATCACATCTTATTACGAAGCCACTTCCAGGAGCTGCTCGGCAACTCGAGCCGTTTATAAATATACCAGTTATGCAACGAGCTCGACTGAAGTGTTGTGCAAGTTGCATACTCCACAAACACGTCAGGCGTTCTTGATAACGACTTGGAGCAGCCTCGGAAGCAATTAAAATCAACGCCAACGCTAATTGCTCTTTAAATAAACAAACCAACGACACCTCCGTCTTCCCCCCCTTTGAATATAAACCGACTTTCTCTGCTTAGGAATAAAAACGACGGAAAGGAAATGTTCTTTTATTTCCACTCGGGCACCCAATTTCTCCGCAGCTTGTATTTCACAATCAAAGTGGTAAACCGAGCAGTCAAAATGCAAAAGCGGCGGCAGGAGTATCGATTTCTCATCTGTCGTGGTCAAATTTGCGAAATCCCACGCGCGCGATCTCGACACAAACGAGTCCGACACAATAGCGAGCAGCAATTCCACGTGCGCCCCAAAACTCTCCGGCAATTTATTTCTCTTGCGTGATGCAGCATTTTGAGCGATGCGCCGTTTGAGTGCGCAATAAATTGTTATTAAAGGAACCGAAATAAAAAGAAGCCGGCGATAATGACGAGAATTACGGCGCATCTTTATTAGCTCCAGTGAAATGAACGCGGGCGGCACTGCCGCTCAAATTGGCTCGGCCGAGATTCATTTTATGGACGCGAGCTTTGCGTTTAATCACACGACTGAATTACCGTGCCTAAGCCTGCGGTGCATTCGACCTCTTTCGACGGCAGTAGCGCCACCGTAAAATAGCACGCTGCACATATTTCACGAGTCAAAGGGGGGCCCCGCAGTTCATTTTGGCTTCGTAAGTGAATAAAAAAAGTTTCGGGATAATAAATTGCCATGTTGTAAAAATAATAACTCGTTGGCTCAGCTGGTTGGTAGTTTCTTATAGTTATTATTTATATAGGGTCTGCTTGTTATAAAGTTTTATTGTTTTTTCAATAGAGCTACTAAAATAATCAGAATTTTTTTTATAGAATTAGAAAAAACTTTTATTTGCAGAAAAATTAAAAATAAATAGTTATTTGCGTTCTTTTAAGAGAACTAAAAATTGTGGAGTCTTTAATGGTTTAGTTGATTTTTAAAATAAAATATTATGCTGAAGACTTAAAAATAATTGCAGGGAAAGTGAAATAAAAAACATTTTATCAATGTTTTTTGTTAATTTAAGATGAAAAATGAGTCGATATTAATGAAAGCAATTATTTGTTTGAAGAAATTGAATTCAAGGTGATGATTGAAGAGATCTGGCTTTTTCCTCGTTGAAAAAATTTATTTTATTCAAAAATGCTCAAAAACAAAACTGCTCTATATCAGTTTCAGTCACGAACTTTGACACCATTTCATGAGCAAGAAAAAAGATCAGCAATTAAATTTTTTATCTTTATTTTTAAATGTGTTCTCAATTTTGCAGATTTTTTTTTTTAATTTTCTTGCTCATGAAATAGGGTTGCAGACCGTGACCGATACTGGTAGAGCCGTTTTGTTTTGGTATAAAATTAATTTTTGCCACGAGGAAAAGCCCGATCTATTCAATTCCTATTAAGCATTAATTTGGAATTTCAGTCTTTTTATTTCCTTCATCTAAGGCTGTGCACATTCAACGTATATAAATTTTTTTCCCTCCTTTTCACTAGAACACGCTTCTGGAGTGGCCGTGTCTCTTTGGAGATGTCGCATTTTCACCCTTCAATATACACACTTCCCCGAAGTCGACTGTCAAAGAACCGACACAAGTGGCACTTAAATTTACCAAGAGTACTTTTAATGCCGCCTGTTTGTCAGTTTTGACCTCGTAACGTTGAAAAATCGGAATAAAGTTACTTTTCTTTTAAGTTTAGCTTTGTATATTAATTTCCATAGTCCATTAAAAACGCAAATTAGCTCTACGGACTAAAAAAGCCAACGTCAAAGACGTGCTTTTTTTCCATGTGAATTTTATCTTTCGCTCAAACCCATTCAAATGCAGATAGGGCTCTTCAAAAGGCCTCCTTTTTTTCATTTGCAAGCAGGGCAAAAAGTGGTTGGCACTTTTTCGCATCCTTTGACACGCTCAAAACACAATTAAGCCCACTTGCCTGCACAGCATTAAATTTTTAAATAAAAAAAAACACAATGCGAGTGTGCACAGCCGTCGGTGGGTGGAGAAGAAACTCTGGTGGGCGCCACCTTTTTAATTAAATTTCCGTGCGAGCAGCATTTTCTTAAAACCCACATCGTCCCGCACTTCTTTTCGCGCACCTTTTTAATGCAAACACACTTCATTTGCGCACTTTTCCGAACTTGAGCCACTCTCGAGACGATCCCGCGCGAAAGCATTCCCGAAATTTCGCAAACTTTGCCTTGCAAAAGTTTTTATCTTTTTTCCTCCTCGGAACGTTTCTTTCTGGAGACGCGGTGCTCACTGGGCGGTGAATCTGTTCTACCTAATCTCGTAGCTTTATCAGGGGTGCGACAGGAGGACAGGATGAAATACACACAAAGATAGAGCCGCGGGGACATAAAAAGCGAGGGAAAATAGCTTGGGCGCGACAAAAAGTAAGCCCGAAGGAAATTTATTGGTCTCCTGCACCGCCCGAGCAGGTGGTCTTGCCCAGAGGTCACTGCCAAGGTCTGCGCTGTTATTTACATTTGATCTTGAAAATCCTATCTTCCTTTGATGATCTCAGTAAATCCATTTCGCCAAATTCAATTTCAGTTGAAATAATTTAATTATAGTTTAATAGTGTGATTTTTTTTAAGCTCATTTAAAATGTTTAATATAAATAATAATGATTATAATTATGGAACTGCATTAGATGGAGATTCAACAGACTGATTTTTATTAATCACATTTATATGATCCTTATGATATAGAACAATAAATAATATATTAATATTGCAATAATAATAAATATTAAATAAAATTAGCAAATAGTATTAGTTTTTTTTTTTTAAAAATCGTAATTATTATTAAAATGAATGATGAAAATTTTATCTTTAAAATATATTATATTGTTAAAAATTTGAAATAAAGTAAGCGTAAAAATATAAAAATTGGTTCAAGTTATATATTTATTCTTTTTAAATAAAAATTTTTAAAATTAGTTTTTTTTTAATTAAACATTTACTTTGAATATTGAACTTCATGTAATCCCTAACTTGAGTTTGTAATTTTAAATTAATTTATTATATTGTTATTTATTTGTCCAAAATTATTAATATTTTATTTTTTAAACAATTTATGGGTGGGTCCGAATATCAGAGAAACGATTCTAGAAACGATTCTTGAGAAACGTTTCTCGAGAAAAGATTCTCGCGCAAGGATTCTCAAGGAACGATTCTTTAGTTGAATTTTAAAGGCAGAAACGATCCTGGAGAATCTTTCCACGAGAATCTTTTCTAGAATCGTTTCTCTGATATTCGGACCCACCCTATTTCAAACTTAGAATTTAGCTAAAACTTCCGAGATAAAAAATCCGACACATTTAATGTAAAAAATTTCACTACTTTTTCTGACTTATTTAGAGAAAACTATACTGATCCCAAAAAATCTCAAACTTATTAAATACTCATTTAAAACAATTCTCAAGGCAGGAGAATTTCAGAGATTAAGGTATAAAATCTGCCCAGACTACTCTTGAGCCGACCACCCTCTCCGACTCCCATAATATTCAAGCACTACTCTTAAATGGTACTAGAGTCTAGTCACGCGACACTCGCCGCCAGTAAAGAGGGAGAGACACGTCTTTTTGCGTGCTGAGACGGAATCGTTCTTTTAATATCTCCCCCGGCCGACCCACCCTCCTCGTTCTCGCAACAACAGGTGAGCCGCCATTTTTGTTATTCCTTATCTGCATCTCTTTTCCCTTTTTTTGACGAGACACAATTTTATTGTTGTGCGTCGCCTAATCTTTTGTGACACTTGTTGTTCCATAAAAGTGTCACGGGCCAAATTCCATCTCTGTGTTAAAATTGAGGTTTATCTCATGCCAAGGCCTGCAACCGACGCAGTCTTTTCGCGTCTGACAAAGCCGACCGCCGCTTTTTAAACGTCACGACGACGAATCTCCGACGAGCTACACGTGTCAAAAGTTTTTGCGGCCTTCTATGTACTTCTTCGGCTAGGATTTCGCAAACATTTGCTCAACTTTTCCGCGTCTTGTTTAGGTTTGCTCAGTATTTTTCACGGCGAACCTCCGTCAAAGCGTGGGAGTGGCGAATTTGTCAGACTAACTATGAGAAATGCGAACCGTGCAAGTATCCAAATAATTTATCATTTGCCCAAAATTAAGCCGTTTATCTTCAAGTGCTAAAAAACTTTTTTTTTAAATATTTGAAAAGAATTAAAATAGGTGCAAAAATTAGAAAAAATATAATAAATAAATAAAGTGAAATGAATTTATAAATTTGAAATACAAGTTGTTGATCAACTCACCTATTACTGGGACTATGTGAAGGGCTAAACAACGAATTGGCCGAATAAGGCGGTGGACCAAGGCTTGAGGCACCTGACGGAGCTAACGGCGACACCCACATCTCCTCCAGCGGAATACGGCCCTTGGACTCGACCAGACCGGGCGTTGACTGGCTCCTGCCCATGGCAGCTGAAACCGCAACCAATTAATTAACATTTGCTCCATCGTATTTGCATACTAGGTACTGTGTACAAGCAAACTTTCCGCCCGCGGTCCGTGCGGAGAACAAAACATTTTCCTCTGAACAATCGTATAAAAATTTTGATCTGGTTGTTACGTAATTTTTGCTTGCGCGGCAAGCAAGGAAATCTGTTAAAAGTAAAAATTCTCTGGAAAGACGAAATAAATTCAATGAAATGTTCAAGACCTGCTGATCGTCATTGAAATTTTCAAGTGAAAAAATAAATGAAAGTTTCCGCTTGGCTTCATTCGGTATTTTGCGGAGGAAGAAAATGGAAATGCCGAGGAGTCGCTGGCCGTGAGCTATTTTCTTATGATAATTTAGTACGGCTCGCCGACATCAGACAGGGCAAGAGAGACTCCTCTCGACGCTGAGGCGAAAGTCGAAATTCCGAGAAAAGCAATTTACAAAATTACCCCTGGGTGTTTTTATTTACTCTGCGAGCGTGGAAAATCGAGCTGGTCACGAACCCCCAGCGTGTAATTTCCTCAAGACGCGTCAGCTGATTTCACTTGAAATTAAGCCTAATTGCTCTTGAAAGAGACGAGTGGCAACTTAATTGTGCTTTATATTTTCTTCGCCGTTTTAGAGAGGAGAGAGAAACGAGTCTTCTTTATAGAAACACCATTAAATGTTTACAGAACTTGCAGGATTAAGAAGCTAAAAACTAAAATTTAACGGACTTTAAGTCTTTAAATTTTTGGAACCTTCAGACTTGTAAAAATTCCTTATATTGCTGCAAAATAAAATTTATTTTACAGTAATTTACTGATTTAAAAGATAAGAAAGGTAAAAAAGTAGCGGTGAAATGATTGATCCCTGAAAGTTCTACTTAATTGGAACCATCAGACTTGTAAAAATTGTTTATATTGCTGCAAAATAGAATTTATTTGATTCAATTTACTGATTAAAATGTTAACAAAGGGTTAAAATTAGCAGTGAAATAATTGGTTTCATTTTTTTCTAAATTTTAATCAAGAAAGTTTTACTTTAGCTATTATTATTATTGTTGATGTTTCTGTGATCAAATTATTACATCACTCTGTTGAAAACAATTTATTTAAAAAAAAAGGAATTGTTGGCCAAAATTTACCTAAAACTTTCAAGTTAAAAAAGACCCCATCCGCCTCAGTGAGCCTCGGTTGACTTGGTTTTTGTTCTCATCTTTTAAGTGTAGGTAATTTTTTGTGTAAATACTATTTAAGATGTGGTAGGAAATTTTTAGGTGTACTTTAATAATAAAAAAATTATGCTTGGGAAGATCGAAATCGGTTTTCAATCAAGACGAAAATTTGCAATTTAATACTTTTTGTTCGTGTGGTTTATTTTAAACTATAGCTTTGTTGAATTTTGTCTCATAATTATTGCAAATTACGCACAAAGGAAGACGAAATGCCGTGACCTAAATTTCGGGAAAAGCGTTTTTGTACAATTGCGAATTGCAGGCGCGGCGCCGGAGGCAGCCAACAGTAAATTCGAGTTAGCGCAGTTTGACACGTCCGCGCCGCGCTTATTAAGCAACGCAGGCTCACAACACGCCGAGACAAGATTATTCCTGCGCAAAAGGCGAGAAACGAGGACAATGAGATGAAATGAATACATGTATTGCGGAACAAAGAAGGGGCGGATCGCGTGATTCCAACATTATCTCGTGCGCGACTCCTGCTCTCGCGGGCTAATTAAGGCGGATTGCATCCTTCCGCGCCTCCTCTTGCCTCCTTCATCTCTAATTGGCCTAATAAGACGCTCGCGCATAAATTACCATGAATTGGGATCGTTATCACGGAACACGGCTTTTCGCCGCATCGGCCTCTGATCGCCGCGCATGCATAAAACATGACGCAGAAATAACAGTTGTGCCAAAGTAGGCGAAAACAAAGAGGAATGCGCGCCGTTTACTTTGATGAAATTTGTGCCAACGGAAAAGCGAGCTCGCCAATTGCGCTTGCATTTAGGTTAAGGCTTGTGAGACTTTTCGAGATAACTTCCATCTGGTCGTAAACGACGAAACAATAAGAATTATCAAAGTTGGCCAGCAACATCGAATAACAACAAACTTACTTTGTTAAATCGTGGAACAAAATTTTACAGCACTCGATAGACTTATTTAAAAAAAAAATTTTAGATGAAAGATGAAAATAGAGTGGAAGTTTCAGTAAAGCTGAAAATTTAATTCTGAAGTTTCCTTTATTGCGAAATCTATAAAATTAGTAAAATTGCTTTTTGTATTTCAATCTTTCACAAAAAATAAAAAAATAAATCAGTGCTTATCTGATGACGTCAAAACAAGAAATACGAAAATCCACTTTCAAATTTTGCTTCGTATTCTGTTTTAAAGAATTATTTTTCATGTATAATTTCACGATCTATGAAACGATATAAAAAGCCGCATAAAAATGTTTTGTTATTATTAATAACTTTTGCCCATTCTCCTATAGAAATTTATCTTTCCTATATTTATAAATAAAAAGAACCCCTTGACATGTACGATTTATGCAACCTGCGTAGCACGAAAGAGATCCGCGTTGCATTTTACATTTTCATTTTAGAGCCGGCATCAAACGGAATCTCTTAGCTTGAACTGGACGGCAACGGAAAGTCTCGTAAAAGGGAAGAGCCTAATCGCTGAAAATTTGATTTTCTCTTCCTCGAAAGTGACCATTGAGCCGAAATGGCCCAATTTGCGAATTTCGTTCGGCTCAATTTGAATTCCGGGCAGCTTCCTTTCTCTCTTTCGCCTCGTCCGTTCTCTTTCGCCGACATGCACAGAGCATTTTGCAGAAAACGTCAAAGGGCACGGAGTGGCATCAAAAGAGGGCAAATTATTCGACACACTCACCTCTTTCGAGGGGCGCCTTTTTGTATTTCTCGAGGCGCTTGACGGCGATTGCCTCGAGTCTCACTCTCGCCGCTGGATACTCCTTCAAGACATCCCACATGTCCTTCTTGGAGAGCACGAACAGGTCGCTATAGCCCACAGACTTAACACTAGCAGTTCTTCGATTACCTGAAACACGGAGTAAACAATTAATAAAAACATTAAAAATTTAATCATGTACACTCTTTGATTTAATTAAGAAAAGTATAATTTTATAAACAAAATAACCAGTTTATATTTTACAAATGTGAGATAAATTCAATTGAAATAAAAATTTGTTTTAAAAAGCTGTAATTTTGAATTTTCGTTAATTTTTTTTTATTAATTTTTACTTATTTCAATTTATAAAATGTATAAATGTTAATTTTTTAATTTATTACAAATTTAGCAAAATTGAAACAAAAAAATCTTTACATAATTGAGAAGCTCAGTTTAATGTTAGTATTGAGTTTTTCTTAATAATTAAAATTAATTTATTTCCTAGTTAACAACGTCTAAAATTGTTATTAATCTACCAACTTGACTTCATTTGATGATTTAAATAAAATAAATCAAGTTAAATATGAATAAAATTTAGCTGCAAGCCTATATACAAATGTAAATATTAATTGAACGTTTGAAATTGCAAATAATTGTGTATATAATAGTTTGTGAATTGAATCGGAAGGGTTAATTAAATTGACAATGGAGTTTTGCTAATGAAATAGTAATGAGCTATTTGCATGGCAATAATTCACTGCATTTACGCATTCCCATCAAGCAACGCGCATAACCCAGGTTTCCCATCAATGAGGTTTTGAAATTGCAGTGATTCAGGTTGGCAATCACGAGAGTGTATCAAGTTAACGGTGCGCACTATTAATAGCCGGCGAGGTATTAGCGCGCGGGGCTTCGGATTTTCGATTAGCTGCGATCAGTGAGCTGGATGCAATAAGTAGTGTGGCGATATGAAAAGGGAATAACGCGCCGCATTTCCACTTAATTACAGCAGCAAAAGTCTACTTGCGCATCCTACTCTAACAAGAAACGACGGAGCCATCAATAAAGTGAAAAGAAATATCTCTCTCTCTCTTCACCGTTGTTAAGGTAACAATAATTTCCACACAAAATCTCTCTTCACTTCTCTTTGTCGGAGAAATAAAGCTCGAAATGTGGCAATTTATATTTCGAACAGGGCGCCATTCTCTCTCTTTCAAGACTCACGCTCAGTATTTCCGAGTAGAAATATAATTTATAGCGCTGTGCATATAATTTGCCCGCGAATTTATTTCCTGCGGCGTGAATGAGAAACGCGAATAAATTCCGCGCCAGACGGGAATTTCCTTCTTGAAAGAGAGATTCGCACCCTCGGGCGTAATTTATGCGAATCTGTGACGATTTTATCGTTACTCCGTAATTACGAAAGCAACCTGAAAGTTCACGTCTTTGTCAAGGTGGAGCGTGGGAAGTGAAATCGGATGGCGGAAAAGTCAGAATGTCGACGAGAGCGTGGGCAGATTTTTCAGAGAGATGACGATCCTTTGAAAGAGGAAAACAAGCGAGATGGATAAATTAGATACACATTATGTGCTTGCCAGCCTGTAAAGTAAAAACTTTTTCCCTGAAGCTCGAGTTTCTTAAAAACTGGGAGATTTCAAGCAAAAATAATTAGTTAGGAGAGGTGTTTAATTTTGGGAATTAATCGTTAAAAGAAAGGGGCTTTTAAAGTTCCATTGAATAAGATAATAAAAAAAACTATACAAAATGCATCCCTCTCTTATTTGCTAATGATGTTCTCAGGGAATCGTTTTTCCCTTTTCTTTAAATTTAAATATTAAAAATTTAGAGCCTAGAATTTTCTCTCAAATTTCAAAATAATGTTTTCTTTCCAAATTAATTTTCTGCACACAATTTGAAAATTTAATTCTTAACACTGGTTCTAAACACTTAAATAAAAAATTAGCTCTTTCTGTCTTGTTTAATTACTAAATTATTTTAATTATAATTTTAACTTGACTTTAAAAGAAAGAAATTCCCCCTTATTACACAAATGATCACAATTTGAACAAAAAATATAAAAATTTGGTTGCCTTTTGAGTGAATTGTTTGACTTACCCGCTGTTCCCATGTTGAGAATGCTGATTTCGCCAAAGTAGGAACCTGCTTTGAGGGTGGCCAGCACCGTTCTACCGTTGTCAGCCACCACTTGCAACCGGCCTCTGTTCACTATGTACATCTCCTTGCCCACTTCCCCTGCAAAAAAGAAGATAAAAACGCTTTATTCAATGATTAGAATTGGGGTGAGGGAAAATATACCTGGAGTTTATTTAATTTATGACTCAGTAATAATGAAAATTATGCCTTAAATAGTGGATTTTGTTGATTTTCAAAGCCGTTTCAAGGTAAATAATGAAATCAATTTTTTATATTTTTTAGTATTAGAAAAGAAGCAGTAATTATTATCATTGATGCATATTTTTTTTTATTAGTTTCTTTTAGCAAAGAAAAATATTTGATATCTGCAGTTTAAAATAAAAATATTAAGCTCATTTGATTTATGAAAAGTTAAATCCGATTCTCTGATTGCATTGTAATGCCACACGAGACCTGAAAATAATCTCTGCGGACGGATTAAATTGAACTCGACCACAGCACTACAGAAAAGAGGTCAAAAACGTGTTTTGTGCTGTGTGTTGTTGTCGCTGCGAGCAAATGCAAATTGCGCACTCACTCTCGCTTGGAAATATATTCTGATAACGCGCCGTGGGCCGCTCTCGGCAGGAAATTAAAAGCAATTTTGATGCAGGAAAGTGCATATCACGCGGCGGCGAACGCGATTCCTGGATCGAATTAAACTCATTTCCACATCTCGTGCGGCATGCAATTCGATCGCGTATTTATTTGCGTCGCCGCCCAGCTCGACGACGCCAACCGACGCGTTTGACGTTTTTCTAATTAAAAAAAATCACGTCGGCCGAGTGCGACTGGCACGTCTGATCGAATCAATTACGGCGCTGGGATCTTGAATGCTTGGAATTTTACATTCTCCCACGGAAAGAGTTAGTTTCGAATGGGAAAATGGTTAAAAAAATAATTAAAAAGGAAGAACTTTGATTTATTTGACAGTGAATGATGATTATTAAATTGTTTTTAAGATAAATTGTTTTTGTTATTCAATGAAAATACCCAGTAAAAAGGCTGATTTTAACAATTTTATTTTCTTAATTTATAATTCTTATTACATTACGCATTAAAAATATTTTGACTTCATCTTTGAAGTGACTATATTTTTCAAAATTTTTCATTTGAACTCCAATACTTATTTAGGAGCTGAACCTCCTATACATTTATTAATTTGTAGTCGATTAAATTTATTGTTACAACGTCAAATCGAAAACACTACATAAATTACTTTAAAAATTTTAATACCTAGGAAATTATTAAAAAAAAAAAAATTAATTGATATAAATTGAATGAAATTAATCAAATCACGTAAAAATAAGAAGTAAAAGTAATTAATGTAAATAGCATTCAGTAAAAAATGTTTTTTTTTTTAAATTTTTGCATGGTTAACTTTGATAAGCAGATAAGCAGACAAAATGAAAAAATTGTTTAAGTGCAAGAGATGGTATTTCATTTTTTGCGCAACTCTGATTTATCTCTTTGTAGTATCCCAGGAAAAAGTCCGAATTTTACTATTTTTTTCCTAATTTAAATTTCTTATAATGCGATACAAAATTTTTATTTATTTATTATTATTCTTTTTAATTGCAAGACCTAAAGAACTAAAGCACCTCAGAAGGTAAGTCTATTGCTGTATATTATTTGATTATTAAAAAATTAATAAACAAATAAATTTATAAATTTAAATATCTGGGGAACTGCTGTAAAATAAGTTTAAAAAATTAGAGCTATAACTAGATTAATTCTCAATAAAATAAAAGTAAACACTAAATTAAAAAAATAAGATTCTAAGTTCATTATTGACCATGAACAATAGGCATTTTATTTGTAAGTTTTGGCAGGTTAGAGTTGTTATAATAAATTATAATGAGAAATTTTAATTACTCTAGTGCAAGAGTTGCTATATTTTATTTTTGCACAACTCTGACTTGTCTTTTAGAAAGCCGCAAACTTATTTCACGAGTCTGGCCGACTGGCAGCTGCACAATAAAAACGGCGCAAGTTAGTGGGTCTGGGCCCTGGGGACTTGTTTGGCTGGCGCTGATGCCAAGTTTGGCCGTGTTTTGTGCTCTATCGTGTTTTCCCAAGCTATTTTGAGGCGGACGAGTAATCATCATCATCACCACCACCAGCCTATTTACCTTTTCTGCAGATGAAATCTCCCGGAGAAAAGAGCACTGGGCGTAATCGCAGAACAAGTTCACACAGGAAGCCAGCTTCTGTGTTCTGGAAGATTTCTACTCGCTTCAAGGTATCTAGGTGTACGTTGATGGCGATTTCAGCCTTCAGCTTATCTGGAAAAAAAAACAAATTCCAAAATTAGGACAAATAAATTATTATATATTGATTATGTTAGAAACAATTTTCGATTCAATACATTTCCATAATAAATAATCCCTCAACCCTTTTTTTGGTGAGTTTCCGCCGGAGGGAAGTTGCGATCCTTGCGAGCGAATTTTTTTTTGCAAAGGTCTCGGGCGGTTGGTTCTTGTACGCGTTGATTCCCTGAGGCGTGTTTGCCGCACCCGGCACGATAAATAAGCTTGTTCAACACGTCTTGTCTGCCGGCGAACATTATTAATCCTTCTGAGCAAGCGAGTGCCTTGATTTCGACGAGTTTGTCACCGCAGCGTGCGAGGGGATCAGCAACACAATGAAGTGTCGTTGACAATGAGAGCGGAAGCAACTTTCCTCTTTCCGCGCAAAACCCAACAAATAAATGATTCCGAGTAAAAGGATCCTTTAAGAATCCCAACAAGGAAATTGCATTGTGCGAGCTGCGAATGTTAAAAAAAAAGTATCCGAACAGAGTTTTCCAATTAAAAGTTTGAATGATAAACAAGTTGTTTATTCAACACAATTTTAATTACTTTTTTTCCTGTTTGAATGAAACCAAAGTGAATAATTTGAGCCCTTTGTCCTATTTGTATGATTACATTACTTTTTGTTTTCTCTGTTCACTTTATAAGGCCATTAATTACACTTTTTCCATAAAATATAAAAATACGTTACATATAATTGGATAAAAAGATTAAATTAATTAATTTACAAAAAAACTCTTTCATGTTTTGCAATTGAAAAGCTATATGAGGAGCAATTTTTCAGCTAGTCTTTGGCCGTATTCACGAGAAAAGCAAGTAAAAAGATTCAAGTTATAATTATTTAAAGGAAATTATCAGTTTAGGAAGTTGAAATGTTTTGTTTAACCACCATGCATTTTTATTGTGCGATTAAATTGAATGGACAAATCTTGCATGGTTATCACTTTTTCATAAGTTCTGAGTTTGCAAGCAAAATTTTGAATGTAAGAAAGTACAAATCAAAGTAATTTTATCCAAGGTTATTGAGATTAAAAGTAACGTATTGAAAATGAATAAAAAACTGCAAACCCCAAGCTACATTTTTATCTTTTTTGAAGAAATTGGCACTCAAGGAAATGATAATGGAAGTAAAACATTGTTAAAAATGATTTAAAAATTCTTTTTTAATGTGGTTTGACAACTTTCTTATTTTTGTATTTTTTCTTGCTCGTGAAATAGGGTCGCAGACCGTGACCGGAATTGTTAGAGCTGTTTTTTTTTTTTAAATAATAAACAATTTTTACAAGGAGGAAAATCCCGTTCGCTTCATTTCCATCCTTTTTATTAATTTTCATAAAAAAGTCTCTGAAAATAATGATAATAAAAAAAAAATTGAAATTTTGAGGCAGATTTTTTTTTTATTGTTTCAAGACAAAAATAATTCTTGAATAAAAGTAAATGCTCCTTTAAAATTCTAATTTGAAAGAAAGACTCGAGGTTACTTTTTATTGCCGCGCACCTTCAGCAGCATTTCGTTTGAAAGTCAAAATAGGGAACGACGCGTGGTAATTTCTCTTGGAATTGTAATGCTGCGGGGGTGCCATAAATTTACCTGCTGCGAGGGGTGCGTGTAAATAAAATCATGGACGGCGTATTTATTTATGAAGAGGCGGCGGCGAGAAAAGGTGAATGTGATCGGGCAAATTTATGGGCCTCCGCCGGCAGCCGAGGAACAAAAGTGGAGAGGCAGTTTCGCCCGCTATTTTCGCGCCGCTCTCGTACGCACGTTTAATCTAGAATTCTGCCGAGTGTGGTACGGACGCCCTTTTTCGCTCACTCATCCCTCTGCTGCCGCTGATGGCCGGCCAAAGAGGATTATTTCTTGCCGTTCTATTCAACGGGTACGCGCGGAAATAGAAATTTGCTAGCCAGTTATACAGTCGGTGGTGCTTCTCTCGGGAGTAAAACTCTACGAGGATTCATTTGAAAGGGGTTGAATGTTATTTACTATAAAAAAGGAAGCCTCTAATTGAAAGAGCATGTTATATGCATAATAAATTTTAATAATTTGCTATTTCTAAATTTTTTTAAACAAAATATATAAAATTCTTTTTTATATTCTAATATAATTGAGTATAATAGAGTTAATTAATAACAATATTTATTTCTTTTTCATTATTTATTGTAATTTTAATGCAATTATGTTTAACTTTGAAGATGAAACTAAAAAAATAATTGTCTGCGTTACACTTATAAGTTAAGTATTTTTATATTGTGTTAGCAAACAACCAAAGAGCAATGAAAATTTGCACTTACCAAAGTGATATTTGACTGCTTTGGACGGATGGGATAATTTGATTTAATTTTTAATTTTATAAAACAATGTCGATGTTTTGATATAATGGATGCCTTATTCTGAACAAAAATCGTTGGAAATCATTAAAATAAATACATGGACGCTTTTCAATCGTAACAAACAACCAATTATTACATCAATTTGTTAATTCATTTGATTTTCCACAGATTAAAGTACTACTACTTGATAAAAAAAAAAAAAAAAAAAAATACTACTTGATATACTGTAATTATTGATTTCCATCTTTAATTATTAGAAATGCATTTTATGCATTGAATCAATGAAACATGTTGAAATTCGTGGCAATATCTCAGAATGTCTGTAATCTGTAAATGAATTAGGCACAATATTATTTGACAATCATTTGATTGAATTTAGAAAAATAAATTATTTTGTAATTGAACTAGTAAGAAACATTAACACAATTATAATAGGTAAAATAATTTCATCTAAGCAGTCAAGTGTATTAACAATAAAATGAAAAAATTCAATAATTATTCAATATTGAAATTTTAATAATTAAAATATTAAAAAAGATGAAACCTCCTTAAATTTTTTTATAAAAATTTTTTCAATTTTGATTAAAAAACAATAAAAACAACTCAATTTGGACGCAAATAAAACACGCTTTCTAACTTCTTTCAAAAATTTACCCCCAATTTTCCGGTGCCAAATCTGTAGCAGGGGTGATGGTGGGTCACACACCTTTGCCATAGTTAGTTTTCATTAACTTAAATACGATTGCATAATTTTTGTGAAAATTTAAAACATAAACGAGCCGTGTTAAATTCTGATGCGTTTTTTTTAATGCATAGTGCGACTCTCAATTTTCTGCTAATCAAAATGATTCTAATGGCCTAAACTATCAGTTTTTTCGGAAGATATTGATATATACCCTGAGGTGGTTTCATCCTCTTTTGATGATTAAAAAATAATATAAATAAAAATTGCTGAAAAATTATATAGATTTCGATTACCAAAACACCACTAAAGCAACGATAAATCGCAATGTTTGAGCGCCGCAAGTCATTTTATTTGCTGAAAATCGGGCGCTGCAAGTCGGCGGTGTAAAATACGAGCGGTCGTATACGTGAGTCGGCTGCTTGATCGCGGCGGGGACACATCAAGTGAGAGAGGGAAAAATAATGTTTGCGCAGAAAAAGTAGCCCCAGCATCCGCAAGCAAACGCTGGCAGGTGTGCGTGGCGTTAATAATTCAGCCGTTCATTTTGGTGGCGCGCACAGACTTTGCTTTTGCAGCTCTCACGTGTGTAACAACCTCTTTCTTCCCCTTCACGTGAGCTATTTTTGGCCGTGAATGAGTAACGGGTGGACGGAGCAAGTGGGAGAAGAAGAGCGTCTCTTTTCCTCTGTCGGCGCCAACGCATCTTTTTTTTTATTTTTTATTTTTCGGCTTTTACACATCTCCGCGGAGGTGCAGAAAACCCTCCGGAGACTTTTTACAATCCGCCCCCGCCCTTACTTACACACTTTTCCGAAAGACTCCACTTTCGCTGACCTCTGCGCTGCTCGGGATCATAACTTTTATGTAGCCGCGTGTATATCCATTTAGTCTCTCTCTCTTGTGAAATCTGCCGGGCCAAATGTGATTTCCTACCTAACTCGGTCCGCCCCCGCCGCCCTCTCGCCTCGCAATAAAGGGATGAAAGTGATTTCGACACAAATTGAAAGCCGACGGCCTATTGAAACTGCCGCCGCCGGGCTTGAAATATTTGCATGTTGCTGCGAAAAGCAAACTGCCGTCGATGAGAAAAAAAAATTGATTTTGGGCTTCGGCGAACGAAACGATTTGTTTGATTAGAGAATGTGAAAATATGCGACGCATTTTCCCGTCGATTGAGTTTATTTATCGAGGTAAAAATCGAACCGGGATGAAGGAATAAAAACGAGGGGCGGTTTTTAAAATAAGGAGAATGCAGCTGAAACATATATTTATCCTATTAAATATGTTAGAAATTTAGAGTTTTTTGTTTCTTTTAATTTTTATTAATGTGACACAGAAACAAACCAATTAAAATAAAATTGAGGTTGGTATTTTATAGATACAAAAATATCAGAAAATCGTGATGTATGTTCTGACTGTATTAATTCTTCATCATCTTTGTGCTTTTTACGATGAACCACGTGGGATAAGTAAATTAAGTTTTAAAGGGGTTCAGACTAAAATTGTGACTGTTAAATATTTTTAATTAAAAATAATTATTTTAATTATAATACCGGCTGTGAATTTCAACTTTTCTTTAATTTACTTAATAAATTATATTTTATTTATTGTTGATATAAAAATTTAAAAGTTTGAATGAAATCTTTTAAACTTAATTCATGTGGTGCTTTTAGTTGTTGCTAATTAAAATAAATAAACAAATGATGCACCAATAGATTCCCAATGACCATTGATATTAAAGTAAAATCGTGTGCATGTAAAATGTTGTTTATTTTATATTGATTATTAAAAAATATTCCTACATAACTTGATTCAAATATGGCTTCAGTGCGCAGTCGTAACCTTTCAGAGCAAAAAATTGGTGCATCTGTATGGGAGAAGAAATAAATAATAATAATGATTTTTGATCAAATTACCTCTTATATTTTTTTTACCTAAAAAAACTAATATTTTTTATGAAAATCTCAGAAAACGGAAATTTAAACATAAAATTGTGGCAAAACCGAGCATTCCGTTTGGGCAAAGGTATAAATAGGATCAGGCACGAACGGAAACCGCAATCTTGATCTGGGGCAGACCCGAAGGTGCTTTGTGTGCCGCGCAAATATTTCCCTTGTGCTGCTCCATTGATTCCGTCTTTCATTGTAGCGAGGCAGAAATTGCAGGGTTTAGCGCCATTTGAATATTCAATACACAGACAAAAAGCGGCAGAGAGCGAACGAGCGAGTGAACAAACGCCCAGGATAAAAATAAAATATCGGAAAACGCCGCCGCGATTCTGTCCTTTTTATCTGGATGCTTTGAAAATACCGAGAGGGAAACAGCATTTGCTACACGCCAAAGTAGCTTTGTTGTACTTTTATTTCACGGGAAAGGAAGAAAGAAAGAAAGGGAGACGCGCTGAAAAAGCTGCACCCGTCGCTCCACTTTTTATTTATGCATTCGCCTCAGGATTCCGAAGCGGGGAACTTTTCCCCCGGAACTCTGTCTCTCTCTCCTAATTTCCAAACATTTCCCCGGATAAGCTCTTTTTTTCGTAAAGAAAAAAAGGGAGGAAACGCATATCAACTTGAAAAATTGCTCCATTTTCAAAGGTTGTTTTGCTATTGCTGCCCTCGAGATTGGAAAACTTTCATTTGCGGCCGAGATAATAAAGAAAGTTCTTTGTTAGTTTGAGAAAAAAGCACTTGACGCAGGCAATCCGTTATCACGCGGGCAATAATTCACAGCACGCGTAATTTGTGTGGCAAAGGAAGCAAGCGTAGGGGACTCACCTGGAAGACAACTGACGGCCTTTTCTTCATCTGAGCACTTTTGGGTAAGCCAGAGGTAGTCGAACCACTTGATGACCTTCACCTGCAGATGGTTGGGCACCCGACGCATCCGCATGTAGGTTTTCACGCCGTCCAACTTGGCTGCAACAACAACAAATAACACAAATTAATTCAAGTTCATAAATTAAAAATGTTATTTACATCTTTGAATTTGAAATTCGGTACACGTAGAAAAGTTTCCTTTTCAAAAAAAAAAGATAAGTCAATTATTTATTTTGTAAAGTTCATAAGTGTTTTTAGGGAATTAATTTACAATAAAATAATAATTAAAATAGAAAAATTGAAAACCGTGTAATTTATTATTGATTGATTTATTAATAAATCGCCTAAGAACGAAAGAATGCCAAGAAATATTTTATTATTGTTATTGTTTTTATAAGTTTAATTGCTGTTGCAGTAAAAAATTTGCAATTGTGACTTTAATTTATTCCAAAGCATGACAATTAAAAAATTAATACAAATTTCATCCAAAATTTCAGCTATAATTTCATAAAAAAAGTTTGTTATCAACTATTTTTCTCTATGGCCAATAACTTTTAAAACTTATTTTTTAATATAATTGATATTTAATTTCATCAATAATTTAATTCATAATAGCTTGAGAAAATCTCATTAGAATAATCTTTTGAATTTAAAATTCTATTTGCTAAAAACTTGAAAGCCGTTTATTTCCAATCAGAAACTAATTTGGATTTGTGGCAAGGTTCGAATGGCAGAACACACAGAATTAGGGGGTGCTTCCTATCTAATGCGGAATGCGGGATGAACCACTTCAGACGGCTCAACCGCAACACTCAATCTATTCGATAAGCCAATCTCTGCCGAGCCGTAATCCGCAGATAGCAATTAATGCAACACAGCAGCAGCAGCAGCAGCCATCAAAAGTCGCTCTGCAAATAATTCGATTCGGCAGGTGCGTTGCGAGTCGTTTGCAAAACTCTTGGCCGCACCGGCTGCGCGTCTTCAAATTGATTTCTGGAGAAATCCAGCAACAATGGTTGACGAGCTCGGAGAAGAACTTCAAAACCAGCCGCTGCAGTAATTACGGACGTACAATGCTTTTGCACAAAGTATTTTCCTTCATTCGATTCGAAGTAATTTTATTTTGTCCGTAATCTTTTTTCAGCTTCTCGACAAGTCAAGTTAATTAATTTTGTTTTCAGGTTTGGTTTGGATTGGTCTTTGAGTTTTAACTTTTAATAAGTTTTTAGATCTCCAAATAAGAATTTCAATTGATAATTTTTGTGAGAGAATAAAATTAATTAATTATGAAATTTAATTTATTTATTACAGCCTTTCGAGCAGTTAACTTAAATTTCATTTTTGATAGAGACGAATTTAGCTAAAAAGTTGTTAGGCGAGATTAAATTTAATAACATTCATTTCTGAATTCAATGGCGACTAATTTCGCAAATCGTTTTCGTAACAAACGCGACGTGCACGTCCCGACGGAAAAGTTTGTTCAATTTGCGCTCTCACTCGCTCTCGTGTTATTTCCATTTAGCACCGTTTCTGCGCCCTGGCAGGTCGAATAAGAGGCCATGCAGCAGCTCAGAGGCTATTTGTTACGATTACTGCCCTAAAAGCCCCATAATGCCTGCCTGTACACACACAAATACCGAGACGCAGGGAGAAGCCTCGGGCTTGGTTGGCTCGTAATTTAGGGTTGCTCGCGTGATTATAAATAAATCTCTTTGCGCCGTTTTCTTTCCTCTGCGAGATTTGTTGCCGATGAAAAATCGCTCCGGTTCGCAACACGGCTTGCGTCACTCTCGATTTCGGCGGAAATGTATAAATATTTATCCTGGCAGCAAATATACAATCTTTCTTTAGTGTCGAGTCAACGCGTGTGTGCGGAGAAAGTAGTATTTTTCGCTAACTCACGACAACTTTGTCTCCGCCAACTGCTACACGTGCAACAGAGAAATTGTGTAGTGTAGATTGTAGTTTTCACGAAAGCGAAAGCGCACTTGACAGGAAAAGAGGCACTTTTACAACCTAACATAATGCACATGGAACTGACGTTGCCGTAGAAAATAAAATTTATTTCTCTTTAAGAGCATTCTTGGAGTAAATTAACATTTAAACCAGACTGAAAGTGATTTTAATTTGAGATTTTCTTCATTAATTTTGATCAATGAAAATTATGGACTTTTCATTTTATTTGGAGAATTTTGTAAAATTTCACGATCATGGTGAAATTTGAATTTAGAGTCGGGTTTTCCTTGATGGGTTTTGTGATTTGTTTACTGTTTTTTTCTTAAACACTAAACAATTCACAAAACTCATTGAAGAAAAGCCGACTTTAAATTCAAATCGCCATTATTTGGGAGAAGTTCTCAATTTCCAAATAATAACAAAAAAATTTATTCACTTTTGAGGCAAAGTAAGAATGAAATATAACAGGATAAATAAATCAGAACGTTTTTTTGTAACATATTTTTTGTTCGATTATTTATTTCTTTTGACTTTTGAGCAATGTTCTAAATAAAAAAGTCTGATTTTGATGCTTATTTTACTGATTCAAAAATGTCAAGATCTAGTTCAAGATGGAGTTTAAATATAAAAAAAACTTAATTTTGTCTTGGATTATGACTAGATTTGAAAATTAATGTTACCAAATTAATATAAAACGTGGCAAAAACTACAAAAGTGATTAAAAATATTAATAGTTTTTGAAAAGAAATATTAAATTAATGAGAAATTTTTCCTTACAAAGCTATAGGATAGATTTGGAACTAAAATGACTTACACGAGCCTAATACCAACTTCCTGATGCGGATAATTGAGAGAAAATATTTGCTTTTCACGTGGAATAATTTCAATCAATTATTCACCGTCACTGCTCGTCACACATTTGCATAACGTGAGAACAGAAGCCCGGAGCGCTGCGAACGTTCGGTTTGACCCTGCATGTCGGGTTGTTTTGTTCTCTGCACAGAGAGCAGGCGCAAATCCATTTTCACCCCAGCTCGGACTTGCAAAAGTGCGAAAATGTCATTTCAAACGACGTAAGATGAGACGAGGAAGGGTCGCCGTGGCGAAAACCAAGTTATTTGCCCATTTTCCCTCTGTTTTTATTCCATGTTTCGCGTCCCTCCTTCTTTTATACACAAAACAGTTTTTTTTGCAGAGAAAGAAGGAAAGAAACTTGCTCTGCTTTATTCTCGTTGAGAAAGAACTAGGCGCAGGAAAAATGTATTTATGTAGTGCACAGTGAATAAAATTTAAATATACAATCTTCCGCGGCGAAACTTTCTCCGCGGAATAATAAATTTTCAGGATTTTCGGCGGCCCGATAACAAAAGTACAAGCCGAGGCACTTCTCCTGGCAAATAATATTTCAATTCCGCCGACGTATGAATATTCAATGCGAGTTCCCTTCGCGTGTGTGTTTTTCCGCCACCCTTGCTGACGTTTGGGACGCACAAAAAAAAAAATGAGCTCGTTGAAATACATTTATATTTATTTCGGTCAGGTTTTTCGGTCCCCGTGCATGCGGACGAGCTATTTTATTTGTTTCCTTTAGTTATTTGGGGAATGTTGAGAGCATCGATCATTATGTGCTACATCAAAAGCGAATTCAACTTCCTGCAGGCTAATTCTGGCGAGTCAATATTGGCGGTGTGGGCGAATCTAAAATATCGCGTTGGCGGCCTCTATTTTCAGCTCGGAGCTCGGTTCATTTGCAAACATGGAAGTTAAAATTCATTCTTCTTTTTTGTCAAAAGACATGCTTCATTTGTTCAAATTTTAATTGAAATGCAAAAAAAATTATATAAATCGTTTAAAAATAATTAATTATTTAAACGATTAAAACAATATTAAAAAATTAAATGAATAAATATTTATTAAAACAGAGTTCCATGCTTAAAGACATTGTTGTGATATGACCATTTTTAAGAACTTATGGACTCCTTCTTGGCATAGTCAAATCGAGCCAAGTTTTTTTTTTGTAATATTAGTAAATTTTAACCTGCATTGTTGAAACGACTTGAATTGACTATGCCAGTAGGGAGTTCTTAAAATACATTGCAATAAATTATATAAAACTGAAATAAATTTGATTTTTTAAAATTTCCAATATCAATTAAATATTATTAGACCCATCATAAAAAAATGGTAAAACAACTACATGATTTATACAAGAATTACAATAAATACAATAATTTACTTTTTATAACTCCAGCAATGATCTACCAAAACTGGAAAACAGCTTGCTTTGAAAATCGACACGTTTTCACCCGATATGCATGTCACGGTTTTCACTATGTGTTGTGCCGGACTAAAAATTACCACGCGAGTGCTCAAGAAAATTGCGTGTGCAAAAAGTGTAACCAGCAGATGGACACTTATCACTTCCTCAAATGCGCAAAAAATGATATGTCTCTTATTGAAGCTTCAAAAGTTAAATGGAAAAAATGACGTTTTGCCTTCTTAATGTTTATTATATTATGCTGTATTTATTTTATGTAACCTGTCGCACGCCATTGGCGTTCAATAAACACATACATACATACATAACTTTTTTGAGCAATTTCCAAAAGGCTTATTTTTATTTTCACTTTTAATAATGTAAATATAAATTTATAGTTACATTTAATACATAAATGTTTGAAAAACACAATAATTTTTTGTATTTTAGGTTATTATTTTTATAGAAGCAAAAGGATCCCAACTCATTGACTAAGTCAAATTTTTTGGTTACTTTTGTTTAAAATAACGATTTGCATGAGCGAGAGCAATCAATGTTAAAATCCAACGAGCTTGGTGTCGGCTCGGAGTTGTGCATTATTTCATCCGAGCCACAGATAGCAAAATATGTACACAGCGAGTGTGGCACGCCGAACAGCTCTTCATTTATGCACATTGAATAAATATGCAAATGGGCAGCGCTCGCCGGGCGTGTAAATTGAATTATGCAAGTGGTGCATTTTCACGCCGCAGGCGGGGCCGGAAAATTCACATTGTCAAGCGTGGCAGGCAGTCGTGGATGCAATTAACGACTTTGCCTTTCTCTGCTCCCCCTGGTTGCGACTCGATTTTCCTTCCTTCTTTACTTTTCGCGGAACGGAGAGATT